GCAGCTGGCTGCATTGGTTTCTTCGGCACAGGTGTCGGGAATGTTGATTTCCACGGTTTATCAAAGTTTTGATGACAGAAAGGTGCACTTCAACGTAGTCTCGGGCAACTTTTTTTTATGTCGCTCAGCGTACGATCACCTGACGAGGTAACCGGCAGGCCGCTTTCTTTAAAAATACTGACGTGTCACTGCAATGTTCTAGGCGATCAGCACTTGATAAACAATGCCCAAGGGCAAGTGTCGACGGCGTTAGCCCATCTAACTACAAAACAGCTTGTCTGCCTTGCTCAAAAAAATTGCCCGCAGCTTCCCTCGGGGGAACACTGAGGAGGATGCGGAGCATATAATTGGTTAACGGGGTGTTAAAGTGCGACTTACTTGGGTCGATGGCTAAATTGGTTAACGTGGTTGTGAAATGGGGTGTTAAATTGCGACTTACTTGGGTCGATGGCTAAATTGGTTAACGTGGTTGTAGGAGGGGGTGTTAAATGAGTGAACACGTACACACGTATGCGAAAGGGCGGCGCTGGTCGAAGGGACGTCGATCATTGTGTTTGTGGATTCGTTGGCATTCATTTCACCGCGACCTTGGACGTCGACGCGCCGTACAAACCAACCGACGAGCGGCAACTGAGCGAGCGAGCGCCGACCTTGAGTATATATACAGCGCGACGGCGCATGCACTGTCAGCTGTCGAATGTTCGAGAAGAGGGAGAAGCGCAACGGCGCATGCGCGCGCGTCAGCTGCCGATGTTTTCGAAGCGCGACGGCGCATGCGCGCGCGTCAGCTGCCGATGTTTTCGAAGCGTGACGGCGCATGCGCGCTACATTATACAGCTAGCGAATGTTCGTGAAGAGGAGAAGCGCACGCGGTGTGTAGAGGAGGAAGGGTGCGCAGATGGTGGAGGAGTGAAGCGCGCGCGGTATGTAGAGGAGGAAGGGATGCACAGATGGTGGAAGAAGGAGGAGGAAGCTTGCGGACGGCGCCGCACTACAAGCCTCGAGTATTAGATGCTCCGCATCTAAAACACGCGCGGCCTGTGACAGCACGTGAGCATTCACGTAGCAACGGATGAGAATGGCCGTACGTGTTCGCACTTGACAAAACAGACGGCAAGGCAGTAGCTCTGGCCTTCGTAGATCACAGGCTTCGTAAGAACATCACAATAAAGTTGTTTCCATACACCGTATGAACACTTCGCCGACGCACTGGGGTTTCATGCATGTGCGTCCGGTCAGTCACACGTGAACTGTGCGAAAGCATTCATTTCATCGTCAACCTTGTCCTTCGCGACAAGCAAAACTCGGCAGCAAGAACGCTTTCACCTTTGACAACACCACGCTTGGAATTGCAATCTAGAAAATGCAGTACGTCCAACAACTGTAATCCGCACACCATACTGAGAAACTTTATGGCGCACACTCTCAGATGAAGCTGCGGAGCGGTGGATGGCCGCGCTAGCTCCAACCACCAGGTTCAACTAAGCATCCAGCAATCACATGAAGCAGCGACGACACTCCAGTCCTCCTTGGGAGTGGCCTAGGCCATGACCACGATTTTATCGGAGTTTTCACCACCTAACAGATCGCAGGCGGCTATTACCTCGCCGTGTTTACCTTTCGCAGCCGCAGCGCCCATGGCGCCCCCTGTATTTAAAATACTTGTAATATGTATTTAAATTACAAACCTAGGCTAATTGACTCGTTAAACACCTTCTTAGTAAATTTTTTGTAGGTTTAACGCATTACACACGAGTAATTTACACATTTAGCTAGCTTTAGGTAATAGATTTTAAAGTGACGTCACTTTCGTGCAGCGCAGAAGCCAGTTCTGTGTGGGGCTGGCTGCTGCGCCGCGCGGCGCAGGAGACGCTGCCTATTTAAAAAGACTCACAGGACGCATACAAAACAGTAAACCAGAGCTGGGCCAAGTCAACTACCCTTCGCTGGGAAGGTTGAAGCGCAAGTTGGACACTAAACAAACACTACATAAGAAATTGCTGTAGCGCCATTGTAGCTTTCTGTAGCTTCGAGATTCCTGTGTCTTGCGTTTTCTTTTTTTTTTGGGGGGGGGGGGGCGGGGGTCATGCATCATCTTTGTACCTCATGCACGTGCTCAACTTAATAATAAGCATATGGTTGCTAGTTCATCATATAAAAATACAAAAACAACGGGGTACATGAGCAGAAATTTGTGCTAATGCTAGGCCAGACGCAACCCTCGAGGTCTAGGCCCAGTGTTCTTAGGATTCTATTATACTAAAGCACTAGAAGGGTAGTCCGAGTCATGCGCGGCTGGAAATTGCCTGCACGCAGGATCCTGTGAATAAAGTCTTCTCTCTCTCTCTCTCTCTCCACAAATTATGCACAAGAGGCTAAATTTAATTTTCAGGCTTCTATAAGTAGATAATTATCACTGTCAAACACGTATATGTAGTGCCCCTAATGTACGTCTCACTCTGTGGCTTTAAACGAAATTACAAAACTTCTTCGTTAGCTTTCTAGTGAAGAAAGGGTGTTACAGACCACACGCATCAAGAATATTTGATCATGCCTCTGTTATTGCTTACCTATGATGCAAACCTTCTATGCATTGCATAACTCATCTACAATGTCTTCCAATTCATTCCTTCAATTTTCATTGTGCACTACTCTGGCCATCCATGAACTTTCTTGCCGCATGCTCAGTGCAGTGAACCTTCATTAATATAACGTTGAACCTGCAACACTGCATCAGGACGTGTGCACTTGTAGTGAAGAAAAACAATCGGACAGCATACATCACATTTCTCTACTGACTTAATTCTTCGCTCTCCACGCCCTTCCCTTCCCCACATAAAGTAGTTGAGTAGGCAAGGGGATAACCGGTTAGGAGAGGAAAATTGCTAAGTCTTCTTTGCTTGGTTTGTTGGCCGCCATCACAACTGCAATTTTTCTCAAATGTTGTGTGTTACTGTGCTAAGATTATGCTCCAAGACCTTAATGCCTGATGTGCTTACCACCAGGACTACGATGTCATATATACACCTCACTGCAATTTGTACCTCGATTATAAGTTAGGTGAGCCACCTTCATTAACATCCACCATAATGTAGATGGAGTCTACAACAAGGTATTCAACATGTTTCAAGTGGTGCAATATCTTCTTGGTTGTGAATATAGTAAATGCAGCTTTGTACTACTTGAGGCAGCTGGCTAGTCAATTACATTCCCTCAGAAAATTAATATTGCCTGTTAACACCAAACCCATTCCAATTCACTGTCATTACAGCCCTCAATAAAGGTCACTTTTAGTTTCACGTACGTAGAGGCTTTGTGTGCCGTAGAGCTTCTACGCGTAAGCAGTGCGTATGCGCAAAACAAAGTAGCCGTGTGCTAGTTTCATGGACTTACATGAGATTCGATTCTTTGCATGCAGTTTCTTGCACACATAGCTTCACGCGGGCGCCTAAACAAGATCCCATGTCCAGCGCTTGCTTGTATCGAAACACGGCAACAGGATGACTAGAGTGGTGCCATGCCTTCGCTTTGGGACCTGCTACGCAATGTGAAGGAATGCAACCCTTTCCAGGAAAACACCAAGCACACAGTGTGGTGGACAGAGATAGCTGTCCACTTGACAGAGTCCCACCAAAATGTGTTCAGTGCTCGCGCTATTTGCGACCGGACGAAGCTGCTGCTCGCTCAACACGTTGAGCGAGATGAGGGAAACCTGGCTGGTAAGTCACTCGCTGGTTTCCATTTAACATGGTGTACAACGCAAAATGCACACTAGATTGGTCAGTACAAAGTTTTATTTGCCTTGGTGGCACTTCCTGGGTCCGGAACCGACAAGGAGTACTCGGAACAAGACCAGCGGCTCGAAGAAATTTTGACGATTAAGAGAACGGCTTTTAAATAAGAATCTTCAAGACGGCACCATTGGGCCCTGGCAGTCGAAGCAGATTAATCGTCAATAAAAGATTACGAGCAGATGGAGCTACGCGATAGCTCTCACCGTGCTTCGCGTTTGTGTAGCTAAAAGCATTTTGCATGTCGTGCACGTAATGTACATGAACCTTACAAGTTTTCATACCTGAAAGTCCTACATACGTGAAACTAAAACTGTCTAAATATGCACGATGCAACTCCAAAACTAAGCTAGTCAGGTACCATTTCATTTGCTGTACAATGATGCACTTTTGCGGGAACACAGTACCCAAGCAACAGGTGCTGCACATACACTTAGCCCACACAATGCTAATGTGCAAGCGCCAGCATGCGCACTAAGAGACAGAACTGGTGGTCGGGTGTTTTATGCACCGAAAAATTCGCAATTATGTCTGCTTCAACTGGCTAAACAAGGTGCCCATGTTCCTTCATTCACTGTAAATGCATACACACACAGTGGAACTGGAAAGGGCAGTATTTGACAGCGTCCATACGTGGTCGGCCATATCTTTATGTATGCCTATGCAATGCAATGTCCGGGCGAATTGGTTTCAAACTTCCACAATCACAGCAAATTAGGGCACAGAGAATGTACATAAGACACACAAAGCACCGATTGACAAGTTGTTCTGTGCTTCATGAGTAGTGTGCTTTCTTCCCTGTTGAAAAATGTAATATAGCTCGAAAATAACACAGCACTTGTCTGCATCTCTTATTTTTTTCGTCCCTCGTGTTACTTCTGTGCTATTACGTTTCTGATCATAGTGCACCAACTAGTATGATCTGCCACCCTACTCTCTGCTGTTGTATGTGTTGTGATCACGATGCCCATGCACATAGGTCTTGCAGGCAGGTTCACGAGAGGCACTTCCCCCTCAAGTCACATCAGCACTTTTCTGGCTACCCAAGCTACGCCAGTGGTCCCCCTTACCCCAGCGGTGATACAACACGAATCCGCACCCCCCTATATAAAATCCTGCTGACGACTACGCCTTTGCAGTTGCTGCTTGATACTCATCTAACAGTCTTTCGCTCTGGGCACCATCTTAGCAAAAAAGAAGACACACAGCTAGTGAACCAAAGTACCGCTAGGAAAGCTAGCTTCTTTATTGCGAAAGGGTTTCACTTATGCAAAAGTCTAATCCATGACACAAAAAAGGGCATAACGACACGAAATGCTAGCCTGCTTGAAGTGCTTTTGGACCATTTTTTACTGGCAGCTGAAAATATGTCGTCAATCTATCGACCATTTCGATACACGGCCAGCTTTTTCTGTTCATAGAAGGCACTGGAACAATAGTGGAAGATGTCAGGGTAGTCTTCACTCCTCGGTCGGGCCCTGCTTCTTGTAAGTTGCACCAACCTCCTTCAGCTTTGGAATCAGCTCCTTCAAGGACGAAGCAACCGATTCTTTCTCATCGGACGAGTCGTCAAGTGTCAGGTGCCTCATGACGAGCTCTGCAAAGGCCACAGAAATATTTTCTTGCCTCATCATGACACCCATCACCTTTTTGTTGGCACAGTACGGGAAAAAAAATAACAACAAATGTGGGGAATCTCGTGCAGCTTTTCTGGGAAAAACTTGGATATTATTGTATTCCCCAGCCTTTTGAGTCACAACTTTCTCTGCAACTACTAAGCCACTTTCTGATACAAAACGATCTCCATGTTATTAACCTTGTTTATTTCAGCTTTGGTCCACAAAATCATTTTGCTGCATTCAACCACAATTCAAGTTCAGGCCTGTCCTCAAACTGGTGTTTTTGACCAGAAAAAGAAAAAAACCTGACCATTCGTGAATAATTTATGACTGATCCCTTCGAGACTTCAATATGCTCAAAACTTAGTGTCAACCTTAGCCACATTACATGGAGACTGACCAGTGTGAATGGCCCTTATGAGTAATAATGGTAGTCATTAAATGAAGTTTAATTTTCTGAAGATAAATTTCACTGGTTTCACTTTCTTATTGTTAAAATTGGAGATGCACAATACTTTCCTTGCTAAAAAAAATGGTGCAGGTTCAATTTTTAAGCAGTTTTGGCGTGAAAATATTTCTAAGTTAATTTTCCACTTTGAATATATAAAATGCCAGGTGCATGCTCAATGAAACGATGCCTTACTACAGAGGCCAATTCTGCCAAATAAGTTGGCAGCATGTTTTGCTGCTTTTACGGCCTTTTGCTTAAAGTGACTCTCGGGATGGCATTACCAACTTCTCTTTGGGGGTCACATTAACGGATGACCATGCTTTATAGATTTAGATTGGCTCGATGTTCACTTGTAGTTTCGAAACCGTTATATCCCTGCAATGAATCAATTAATGAGTAATGCATGTGTACTTTTGTTTCCATCGTCGTAAGTTTTTGTCAAATATCAGAGTAACACTGATACATACACTTGGGTACATGAAAGCAAACATAAATGCTTACTGAAGAATTTCTGATGCAATGTGGTTATTTTGGGTAACTGTGCGCACCAGTTTATTTTATTACTTATGTGCATTGGGCAAGTTTCGATGGTGCAATTGATTTCTTAAGCACTGCAAGCGCACCCACCTTGCGCTTGGTGTAGAAGGGCAAACGTGTCTGGTGGCAACTGTGTTCTTAGAGCAGACAGAATCTGTGGCACGAAGCGTCCCGAGGCGTGGAGTGCTTTCTGCGTCTGGGCCTGGGCCACGAGAAGCACCGCCAGGTGCAGGCACAGCGCAGCATCCTCAGCCTCCGACAGCTGCGACAGGAGAGCCTGGCGGTGGCTCAACAGCCACTGCCTGCATGACAGATGCAGCGGCACAATGAGCATACTGACGTAATAATCCGGATGTGGCTGCCAAATGGACCTTGGGTTGCTCCACCATGAGGTGGCTTGAAGTCAGAAATCTTTAAGCTGAAACGGGCAAAACAATTGATGACTGCTCAATCACTCGACTGCTGGGGCGAGGTGTTTTCATTCAAGAATTGTTTGCCTACCACCGCCCTATTTTTCTTCTAATCCCAAACCGAATTGTACCCCCCGCACTCCCTAAAGGAACCTGCTTGTCCCAGCTGCGCAACCACAGCCCCTAATAAAAAAATCCTGGTGCGGCCATTGCTGAACAAAGATTCAACGGACATTCATATGCTGCCATACCAGTCAATGAACTATATTTACCATCATTTAGCTAAGACTAACCACAACCACTAGCCGACATTTGCCAATGATAAGCCAGTATTGGCCGACATTATCTCTTTCTTCAGTCAACACATCTTCCAAGAGACAGCATTAACCGTTGCTGAGTAGGGTGAATACAGTGATAAATTTCAGTCAGAAATATTTGTCGTACTCTGCAACAAAACATTCGTGGAAGAAGCCCGGGAGGAGACTGCCCTCAAAGAGTCACGTTATCTAGCAGAACTGCAGTCCATTATTCAAACCCTATGACAGTAGGACAAGTCCTGCACATGGACTACTACTGCATAGACAACTATTATTTGTGTACGTTACTGGTTCACGCTGTAAAACACGACAATTTCAGGTAGCTGCACATTTGACCTAACACACTCTCACTTAAGCTTCTGTATTTAAGTTTGAGGTTACTGCCATAATGTCAATAGCTAAAATGCAGCACCCTCGCACAACGCTGTTGTTGAGTATGTTAGAGTGTCACGCCTGGGAATTTGAGAACTATGATAGTGAAAGAATAAAGACTCAGTTCGTTCTGGGCTTTCACAGAGCTATGTCTCATTTATTATCGAGCTCTTGATGGCCTCCTACTACCACTAGTCTTCCAGCCATCTTCACTTGTATCAGTTATGTTCTTGAATAGATGCAATCGAGTGTTGTGCTGCAAAAGCCCCACCGCTTCGGACTTCTGTGCTGAGATTATTACAACTTGTTTCAAAAGCTAGATTTTAGAAATTGATAGACCCGCACAAATTTTATTGCATGTTTCATAATGCTTTCTCAGGTTCCTCTGTACGTATCCACTTGGAAAAGATGATGCAGTTAGATTGTTACCACAATGCCACATGTACTTTTCTTCCAATTTTCGATGCACTCACCTTTTAACCAGTGGACTAGCAGTGTGTGAGAAACACGTATGTATCTATAATTCATTAAATGCCACGCTTGCTCGTTTATAAGGTGCAAATGATTGTAACTTATGATTGTATTTTAAGAAATTGCAATTATACCTGCAACAGCCTTCATTACGCACTCCCAGTTTACTACAGTAAAAAGAAAGTTCAAAGCAGAATATTCTTTTTTCCATTAAACAAGCCTATAGAAAATTGGTGGATGTCAAATAACTGGCCTCTCTTTCTTCTTGTCGGAGCGAATAATCATGTCGCACACGCCTGGTCCCAGCACCACGTCCACATCGGCCAAGAAGTCTTCCAGCGTCTGGAGTTCAAACAAGATGCTCCATTCACTTCCCGATACACACTTCCAAATACATAAACACAAAAGATAACGTTCATTGCCCCCGTCATTATTTAACTCATTTCTCATTTTCAATGCATGACAAAGAACTCTACCAGCTATCTCCAGTCATGCCTAACTTACATGACGTGGTTCCACTTTATATGTGCAAGAATACCGATTTCATCAGACCATAAACTACCACCATCAGCACGTCAACATGAAATGTTTCTTTTTAATCTACAGTCCACCCCTTCACCAAGCTGCCTGCTATCACCCAGCGCACAAGTTTTTACAATGTCAACCAAGATAAGCGACTTAGCTTTGCGCTCAAATCAATAATAATTGTACTTTTCTAGCCAAAATAAATTGATGTCATCCTTTTAAAAGCAAGAGGTGCTTCACAGAGCATATGCAATATTGAATATGTAGCTTTTTTCTTGTCTGCTCATAAGAGTAAAATTCCAAAAATGAGGCACGCTGTAGCAGAAGACATTGGACTAACAGTATTGCGTCAGGATTCCTTAACATTTGCATACCTAACCAGGTACACAAGCTTCTTTGTTAATTTGTGCTCCTCAATACGAAGCTGCAGCAAAATCTAAAACCCAAACCTTGAGCTCAGTCATACAGAGGCAATATCGCTAGTCTACCAGACTAAGTGAATTAGCAAAAGATTCAGTGTTGCCTACCTTTGCTGATAGCGATTGATGAAGCTTGAGCACTGGACCCCTGACGTCGGATTGAAGCTTCTGAATCAGCTTTTGCCGCACCTGTTTGCACAAGAGTGATTGATTAGAGATTGAATGTGATGTGCATTGTGGCGCTTTTGCTCAGACAGCAGCGTGGCATCATATGACATATGACAGTTGAAAAGCATAAACTTTGCACGAACAAGAAGAAAAAAAAAACACAAAATAAAAATAGGTATGTGCATTCTTTTACTCTACATATATATGCGCAACTTAGTTTTCATCTTCTAGCACGAATCCATGAGAACTTGTGCAACCTTTGCTTGAAAACACGAAAGACTCGTAATGACACAGTTTCAAATACAAGCTGTACTCAAGCTCACTTAAGACATTTGTTGGATGAAACTCGCATTGAGCCATTACAGACAGGTTGCATCAAAATGTTTCCATCAAGCGATCTTCAATCAAAATATGCTAATTCGTCAATTAGCTCCAGTGCATATATTTGCTTGGTTATCTCGGACGACACTGCCTTGCAACCTTCACAACTTAGGTGGTCACCGTGATCTTTCCCACGCAATTCGTGCAATATCACAAAAAGATCAGCCCGTTATCACTTTCTGGCATTTGCGTCAGAAAGTCCCATCAGCGAAATCGAGCCGTTGAACAGAACTCCTGCACATGCTTATAGAATAGGTCATATCAAATTGCTCCTGATGAGCATTTCATAGTTCTCTTCACAATGTTAAGTTTGGCCTGGAAATTCGTCTGGGCAGACGCCTTTGTACGTAAGCTGGTCCACTGAGAAGGCTCTCAATCCCTTCGGCGCCCAGTCTGACAGACACTGTCGAAGATTGGGGCAATTATCCAGACCATGCGGCAAGCAAAGGCGAGTTTCCGTCTTTCAAATGCGGACCCTTTTGTCGTCTCTTGGAGCAGAAGCAGTGACTGATGCCCTCGACGACTCATCGGGCGACGGGGAAATTGGCCTGACCGGCGCCAGAGCTGACAGGAGATTGGCGCTCCCTTTTAATCCCCAGTCAAGTAGCCGACCAGCCGACTGCCTATGCCCGCCAGGCATTGTCCCTGCTGGCCGGAGGATGAGACGTCGTGTCGCCGCGACGCCACAAAGAGGACAACAGGGACGGCGTCTTCCTGGAAGAGACCGCGGCGGCCCTCGCAGATCGCCCCGCTAATTGGGCGAGCTGTGCGGCGGACCCTTTGAAGTATGCTGCCAGGATCGTGGGAACTCTCGACCAGCGGCACACACACTCTCGACTAGCACCACCTTGCAGTGCAGTGACGTTCACGTGGACCGTGCATGCTCGCCCCCCTCACCTGTTGTGCATGTGTGATTGGTGTTCCACTCGGAGAAGAGGAGCCCAACAGGGCTTAAAACGCCGCCGCAGAGTGCTGGACATCGCTCTGAACCATGTAACGGTTCAACCACCACGCTCGTGGTTTGCGAAACCACAACCTCTTCTTTGCTGTAAATATGTGTAAATAATGCCACAACCCATGTTTGTTTTCCGCATCCTCCAGTGACTTACTTCCTTCCTCCGACTGTAACAACTGGTGGCAGCGGTGGGATGAACTTCACGACATGGTGCTGTGCTGTGGTGAGTGCTTGGTCTTTGCTATAACTTTCCAGGCTTCATTTCTTGAGTGTGAGTTGATTAGAAGCTGGATTGTGTGTGAGTTAGGGAAATCACCTATTTGTGTGTTAGAGGGATCCCCTACATTTGTGTGAGATGCAGGACCAAAGTACAACGGCAATCATGGAGGTGAAGACACTGCTAAAAGATGGTCTTTTGTACATTTGTGAAGACCTTGGTATTAAGATTAAGGAAGGAATGGGCAAGGTCAGAAATTTTAGAGCTCATTTTGGAAAGCGCCAGTGAGGTGGATATTGGATACGCGTTAAAAGCTTTAAAAAGGTTGGAGGAATGAAAACAGAAAAAAGAAAGAGAAGAAAAGGAATTACAGGATAGGAAAGAAAGGCAAGAAAAGGAAAGAAGGGATAGAAAAGAAAGGGAAGAAAAGGAAAGGAGGGATAGAAACTAAAGAGAGGAACGCGAAAGAGAGGCATGGGAAAGGGATAGAAAAGAGCGTGATCGAGCACGCGCCTTGGTGCTCGAACAATTGGAACAGAAAAATCGAGGCAATGAGGCGGAAGATTCAGCCATCCGCAACTGTAGCGCACGAGGAGCTGCGATAATCAAGTGAGTGAGGTGCAGTCCAGAGCTATAGAGAAGGCTAGCACGTGTGAAGAGCGCAGCAGGTTCGCAGATGAACCGAATGTGAGAGCTGCGGAAGATGCTGCTATAATTAGAGGGGCCGACAAAGGCCAGAGCGAGTGCGACGAGGTGCTGTGCCAGTTAACTGTAAGCGAAACAGCTAGGATAGCGGTAGAAAAGCTGGTACAGACCTCAACTGTGTTTGTCGCAATGGTGGAACTTGCAAACAGTGTGGAAGTACACAATGACACCGAAGATAGCTCAGAAGCAGCGAAAGTAGGTAGCGGGATATCAGTGCAGTCGTAGATAGCTCTCAGCAATGCGAGCTAGTGTTTGAAGGAAAGCAGCTGCACTGTTCCTAAGAGCGTCAAGCTGTCCGCCAGTCTAGAGTGTGAAATAGGTGATTTTTTCAAAAATCATTTAGACGGCGCGGCGTCGACAGCTGACGAGTGCAGTGAGAATGTTAGCGACCTTGAGCTGCGAGCAGTAGGCTCAGAGACGAGTCGCAGGAAACGGCACAAACGCAGGAGACGTCAGGAAGGCCGCGAGAGAGACAGAAGGTACTACGCGTGTAAAAGAAGGCACAAAACCTGTCAGCGTAGGAAATAAGAGCTTTGCAGCAGCGTCAAAACTGCGTTGCAGGCGTCCGAGCCGCCAGACGAAAAGTAAAAAGAAAGCGGGAATGCAATCACGTGGAAAGAGCAAGTCTTATGGGTTGCCTTTGAACTGTAATACTGCCGACGACTCAACCCGCGACAAATTTCAAAGCAGTGCGGGACAGGTCAGTCGCAAACGTTGACGTAAAAGAGGTAAGCGTACGTACGCGAGCGACAAAGCGAAGGCATGAAAGAAGTAGCAATAAGCCGGGTGAACGACGGAAGAGTGGGTTATCGGCCAGTTTGCCGGGGAGGCCTTTGTGTCAAGCAGCAAAACGCCAGCGGCGAAGTGGTAGGCCACAGCGCGCATCCTCGCGACAGAATTCGCGGAAGAGGTTTAAGGCTTTGCGAGGACAAGAGTGTCCAAGGGGTCCTACAAGAAAAGCCACAATAGCTAAACACCGCTCGGGAGCTAGACCAAAGAGGACACCGACGCTCTTTCCCACGCATTGCTCGGGCCCACTCCGCGAGTCTGACAGAGGCAGGCTGAAATCGCGAATGATGCGTGACTGTGCCGTTCGGCTTGTAGCCCAGACGCGGACGCTGCCTCAGGCGTTCTCGAAATCCGGCAAAACCGCGACCACCGCGTGTACGACTGAAGAGCGAACGACAACTATAAGCTGGAGAGTCTGACAAAGGAAATTTTCTTCGAAGCATGTTTGTTTGCTTATTTTTGGTTTTAAAGTCGTATTCCTTTGTCATCTCCCCGGCTAGTTGGTTTAGTTAGTTTTCACTTCAATGCTTTTTTGTAAACTTTGTAAGGGCTGCGAGTTAAATTATTAAGCGGTATGCGGAAGCAGTGACCCGCATCAGTCATCCTATTGTGTGTAAATGAGCTTCTCTGATATAAGAGCGCGTCAGTCGTAATTGAAGATTTGTACGCCCCGCTAGTTTTGAAAGCGGAGCTGGACTGTCGAGCGGCTTGTCGATTGGAGCCGGACTTTCTATGCTTCGTGCTCTTTAGTGTAGTGCGACCTCGCATGCCGGCTTAAATAGAGTAAATGAGCAATGTTCAGGAAGGTTGTAGAATAAAACCAGAAGCGATTTTCGAGATACTCACGTTTAAGAAACATTTGGTACGGGGTCTTTAGAAGTTGTTAGGTGCTCTTGACGTGTACGGTGTCTGGCGTTGTTTTCTTTGCGTGTTCTTTGTGAACATTTACGTTCAGACGTGTTTAGTGGTGCCTAGGTTATAGCGATAGGACCTATAGTTAGGTGTGTTAGTATGCTAGCGGTGTTTGGATGATAGTATGATGTCGTGCTAGAGTGCACAGCAAAGTCATGTGCGTTCTTTAAAAACATGGGCTGACATGAAACTACATCCAGCAAATGAGCGTGTTAGCACAGAAAGTTTACTTCGTTTTGTTGTTTTTGTGATCACTTAGGGATCATATATGATCACTTGAGCTGAAAGCACTGCGTTCACCAAATTTTGAGATTAGATACCTTTCTAGGATTGATAAGACGCAGTTTGATCTGTTGTGAGTGAGTTTTCGTTGGCGTCAGGGTGTCCCCCAAGTAGGCACTCATGACTACGTTTGAAGTTTGTAATGAGAGAGTGAAGAATGCGCCCAGATAACTTGTGCATAGGGTCTGGCAGAAATCGTGTGAAACCTTTGTATTTGGTTGTGTTTCATGAAATGAGTCATGAAGTTAAATGTAAGTTACAACTTAGTAGTGCAGATGGTAGGAGAAAGCTAGTTTTGTAAAAATGGGATTACGGTTATATGGGGCCAAATTATGTTTGCCTTTGTGTGCTTTTCTCACACAGCAATTGATTCCATCTGTGGTAAGCATCTCCACATCCATGATTGTTGTAACTTTGGCGGCACCAAATTGTCTCCAAATTTTAGCAGTACAGGTTTTCTTTTTTGTGTTGAGAAGCCTGGAGGGTCCTAAGCGAGTCCAATGTGCTTGGCTGCAGCATGGTATTGTGTTGTGTGGTTCGTCTTGCTGTTGTCCATCATTGTGAGCTGGTTTGGGAGTTGGTTTCGAGTTCGCAGCTGGAGGAAGAAAGCCAGGCCATCGTCCTCGTCACCAACCATTCTCTTCGTGCCCAGCGGTTGGGAGCGCTGGCTAGCCGAGATTTTCCGGGCGGCGGAGGAGCTGTTAAGTTTGGCCTGGAAATTCGTCTGGGCAGACGCCTTTGTGCGTAAGCCGGTCCACTGAGAAGGCTCTCAATCCCTTCGGCGCCCAGTCTGACAGACGCTGTCGAAGATTGGGGCAATTATCCAGACCATGCGGCAAGCAAAGGCGAGTTCCCGTATATTCAAATGCGGACCCTTTTGTCGTCTCTTGGAGCAGAAGCAGTGACTGATGCCCTCGATGACTCATCGGGCGACGGGGAAATTGGCGTGACCGGCGCCAGAGCTGACAGGAGATTGGCGCTCCCTTTTAAGGGGGGACGCGGGTCTTAGAAAAGTAAAAAATGGCCAAAAAATCGATTTTGAGAAAAACGCATTTTTCGAATCTTTGAACCTATAAGCACCTCTCCTCAAATTATTAACGCTAAATTCGAAAAAAAAAAGGTTAAAATCTATTTTCAAACCATCACGGGAGTCGCAAAACAACCCGCAAAACAGAAAATTTGTTCGAACTTCCCGCACGCGCCGCCAGCAAAGCAGCCGGCGGATCGGCGCCATCTTGGGCTTCTTTTGAAGCTGGTTCCTTTGTGCGTGTTTTGCGGGCACTCAAAATGGCGTAGCTCCAACACAACGACTGCCCTCTCCCGTTTTGCGAAGCCGTCTGCCGGACCGCTGATTGGCTAGAGCGCGCGCGCGCCGGCGAGCCCCCCCTTCTCGCGCTTACCATTGGCTGGCGCGGCGGCGCGGCCACGGTTGCTCACTCTTTTTTTGTTTGTTTGGTTTTGCTCCGTCAGCGCCTGCTCTCGTGCGTGTTATCTCGTCTGCTACCCGCTCGTGTACCGACGTCGCCGACGTATACGTCTTTCTGTATTTCGCCGGCATGGCTTGGGAAGCTCGCCTGAAGAAGAACACTCGTCAAGCTTTCGGCAGGAAACGAAAGCGAGCGTGGAATGCGCGGCAGAAGGGAGCGGCCTGCGCGCCGCCGAGAACGCCGGAGATGGCCGAGGCAGCGCATTCTGACGACAACGGGCTGTCGGAAATGCCTGTTATTGCGGAGGCAGCACATTCAGACGACGACCCATGCCTCACTGCGCAGCGTAGAAAGAGCAGTGGCTGAAGCCATCAGCCGCTTTAATCAGGGGGCCACGAAGAGCAATGAAGCAATTGCTGAGAAGCTAGGCTACAGTGCAGGAAATCTCTTCATGCGTCGTAGCCTTGAAAAGGATAAAACCAGGCTTCACAAATCGCGGAGGGAGCACCTGCAGAGCAGTTCAACAAAGGCAACACTTGCAAAGCGACATAAGCCTGCAAGAGACACTGCATACAGCCCTGGCATGCTGTAGAATTGTAAGGATGTCTGGGACAAAAATGTGTGTTTTACTTGAAATAGTGTTTTATGTATAAAAGGGCGATGTTTTTATATATAACATGTGTCTTCCTTTGGTTTTCAGTGCACTAGAACAGCCACAAAGTTGTAGACTGGGTTCCTTATACTGATTCAACGGCCAGTACACAGTTTTTAAATGAGCTGTGGCAAATATTTTGGGAAGGTGCATTGACACATTTGGTACAGCCATACTCACATAATGTAGAGCTATACAACGGTGCCATTTTTATTGTTCTAGCTTCACTTTAGCAAAAGTTACAGTTATTAGAAACTTTAAATGCGTTTTTCTCAGTTCGATGTTTTTGTGCACCACACTAAACTTTAGGGGTTTTTCTTATATATTACTGTTGATTGAGAATGCAAACTTGGTATCATTTTATTTGTAATAACATTACCTATGGGGTGATGCTATTTTGATTACTCTAGAAGCATACTGTTAATTACAATTATGAATAGTAATGAGTGAAAATTGAACAGAATATCCACTGTAAGTGCTGGTCTGTTTTCTTATCTATATAATGCCTAAAAATTAATAAAAATAGCATCACCCCATACAGAAAGCCCTCAGCATTGGGGCTATGCATTTATTTTTTGGATCTGGCTTGATTAAGTTGCCAAAAAGCCCCCAATGAAGTGCATAATTAATTAAATTACAGATGTTAATATCTTTTTATCCACTGAAGCTATTTCAGAAACAATTACATATTTGAAATCAGCATGAGAAACTGTCCAAGATGGTGAGGTTTGGTCAAGATTGAGCCAAAAACAGAAAAAACATTTTGAAGACCCATGGCCCCCCTTAACCCCCGGTCAAGTAGCCGATCGGCCGACTGCCTATGCCCGCCAGGCATTGTCCCTGCTGGCCGGAGGATGAGACGTCGTGTCGCCGCGACGCCACAAAGAGGACAACAGGGACGGCGTCTTCCTGGAAGAGACCGCGGCAGCCCCCGCACATCGCCCCGCTAATTGGGCGAGCTGTGCGGCGGACCCTTTGAAGTACGCTGCCAGGATCGTGGGAACTCTCGACTAGCGGCACACACACTCTCGACTAGCGCCGCCTTGCAGTGCAGTGACGTTCACGTGGACCGTGCATGCTCGCCCCCCTCACCTGTTGTGCATGTGTGATTGGTGTTCCACTTGGAGAGGAGGAGCCCAACAGGGCTTAAAACGCCGCCGCAGAGTGCTGAACGTCGCTCTGAACCATGTAATGGTTCAACCACCACGCTCGTGGTTTGCGAAACCACTATCTCTTCTTTGCTGTAAATACGTGTAAATAATGCCACAACCCATGTTTGTTTTCCGCATCCTCCAGTGACCTACTTTCTTCCTCCGACTCTAACAACAACGAATGCGTGAATGTCTTGAGCTGCAAGCCAGAAAATATGTTTCTGCGACTAATGCTGCATATACAAGTTCATTATTAGTGCATGAGTGCTCACTGAAGAAAAGCACTGCCCAATAAATTTGTTTATTTCATATCAAGTAACTAGTTGTGTATGCAATTACATCGAAGCATTGCTTCCCTCCTACACCAATAAGATACAACGGGCCCTTTTGCTAGCCTTGCATGAGATCAATATTAGAAACACCAGAGAGCATCAGTACGCCCAGTTTTCCTGCATATGCAAGGACTTTCATTTCATAAAAAATGTTGATGATTTTCAGGACAATCACAGTGAAATATTTTAGCCTAACTGCAATGCCTTTGGCATTTAGTGTTTCTATTGATCAAACATTTGAAAAATAAACAGATTAGCAAATAAGGCACTGCCAATCAATCACAGCATAAGTCAAGTGCAATGCACTCAGTTACTGCAGCAAGAGTCCTCATAATGTTTGGCAGATTTTTACACCACTCAGTGACACCACCGATCTGGCCACTCATACCTACGCCTCCAGTACGCCAGCCTTCAGGCGAACTCCAAGTTGGTAGCCAACTAAAGCGCTTCATTGCCATGTCCCCAGGATGAACAACGGTCATCGTAATTGAGATTCATACCTCAGGAGCCATGCTAGCCGGTGTTTCCGCTTCCTTGGCATGCTCTGCCGCCAAGTATCCTACAACCAGGTTGGTCAGGTCCGAGCACAGCGTCTTTAGGAGATGCTTGGCCAGCTGGGACTGAAGCTCCTCCCCTGTAAGCCACGCAGGCAGAGCATCCACATTAACAATTGTGCTCAAGCAAGAGAAAGAGAGCTAGGTAGGCCCAACTCGGATACCCGGCCAGTCAGTTTTGCAGAAATGCCCAAACTGGAGGAAGGTTCATGAAAGAAAGAGAAAGCGGGGTTGCATTGGGAAAAACACGGAACAATACGAACTACATTTGAAGCGAGACAACAGTTTATGAAAGACTGTGGCAAGCAGAAGTAAGGCCTTCGATGTCCCATAGCATAGCATACGTGAAGTAACCTGATGATTAAGCCGCTGACGAGGCGGCTGACCATGCTTCAACACATGTAGTATTTAAAAGGATTTTGCAGGGTGTAGTTGGTGCATATTGACAAGAATAAATTAGTGCAAAAAAAAAACAGCACATGCAAAAACACACAAGGGACCAGTGCTACTTACAACTCTTTATATGATATAACCATTGTAAGTACCACTTGTCCCTTGAGTGTCTTTCTTTGTGTTGTTTTTTCTTGCGCTACATGTAGGATGATTACTCGAAAACGGGTACCAAATCAGTCACGTCACATTCCGAAAGCAGAGGCCCGAATCACGGTTTCGTGTCTCTCAATTATCCACACAAAATAAGGAGGTTTAATCTCTTTCCCGTTCCTCTAGTTGCAGAAGCGTTAGTGCTAATGTGAGCCATATGTAATAAAAGGGCCACTATGCGAAGCTGGAAGGCAACGAAGACATGGCTATTATTATTTGATCTGTCAATTGAAGTGCGGATGTGAAAAAAAAAAGGAAAGTAGATCGAAAGAGAATACAATGCGAGTGGAAACGAAACCTATACATTCTACGTTACACATACAATGTTGAGTGTTGTCATTCTACTTTCGTGGAGTTCCAAGAACATAGCTCGCTAAACAAAGACCAAACAAGATGAACAGAGGTCAAGGGCTTGCCCCGACTTCATCTTGCGCGTTCATTTAGTGTGCTAGGGCACCAACACATCCCACTGTCCTTCCTTCTGAAGCATCTTTTACACATCTATGTTATCTGGCCTTGAAACTGCTAATCTTACAAAATAAGATTTGATGATCACTTATTTCGAGTGAGCTTTTATTTATTCAGCCTATCATTTCTGCATATCATGTCTAATTACAGACGATTTCTCTCATGTATTCACTGGCTACTGTCTGCCAGCATTATGAATATGCCTCTATGGAAAAAAACACTTGCACATGCTCCTTTTTCTTATCCAAATGGCAAGGCGTAAGGCGTAACCTGTTAATATGCATACAAAGTGTTAACTACCGGTGCAACTGATGTGAATCATGTTGCAACATGATCAACATAGATAGCTGCAGCATGAACAAACCCCATCAGCAGGAATTCAGTTTATGCTACACTTTGTTGCCTGAGCTAACATTTCAGTATTGCATTTATAAATTAGGAGTACAAATAAGGCATCATGGAGTTGCAGTTGGCAAATGAAATTCTCCACAAGTCTTTCTAAAGTGGCAGCTGAAATCAAGAAGTTCGCAAACACCTAGATTCCATGAATCTGAATGTCCAAGTAGTGTAAGGTGAAAAGTCTTCAAGGCGAATGATAAGAGTGGTATACATGTGCATGGTATACTGTATTTACTCGCATATTAGGCGCACTTTTTTTTTTCCAGGAAATCCGGCTCGAAGTTAGGGGTGCGCCGATTACGCGGGGTAAAATTTTAAAAAATTTTTTCGACTCTGTTCTTGTGCTTTAAATCTTCAGATTTGTCCCATAAAAAGCGACTTTTATGTGAGAAATGAAATACCTTTACGTTACAAACACCGAAATGCCTGCTTGTAGCCCAGTTACCGTGCTCCGGCATGTACTGCACTGCCTTCAGTTTAAATCCAGCCGTGTAGCTTGAGTACTTCCCCATGGTGGAACCAAAGTTCAATACACGACCACAACGTATGCACACCGCTTGCAAAATGGAGTTTATTTCTTTTTCTTTGATGGTGGTGATGGCGATCGAGCCCCCGGCGTTGTACACGTGACCTCCAAGGAGTGCGGCAGTTTGGGGGTATGAGTAATTGATAGAAAAGTTTTTTTTTTTGTTTTTGGTCATGGACGCATTTTTTTTCCTTCACGTTTTATTTTGACAAACACGTTGGTTAGGTCGTTGCACTTCGAACTTTCTTTATTTGCTTGTCGATTTGCCTTGTTTTTTTCTTCAGGGTATGGGGACTGCGTTCCAACTGTACCGCTGAAGGGTACAATTGTTTCTGATCGCAACCAAGTTCGGGGTGCGCCTATTATGCACGGAATTAAAAAAATCAAATTTTCAGCGATCAAACTAGCGGTACACCTATAATGCGAGTGCACCGATTATGCGAGTAAATACGGTATATTGATGGCAACCAAAGTTGCTAAACCATAGTGGGCCTAGTGATACTACATTGTCACCAAGTTATATCTGCTTTTTGCCGTACTTGATGCAAATCCATGCATTGGTGGCAGAGTGAGAGAGATACGATTTTGTGAAGACCACTGCACACAAACCTGTGCAGCCTCTGTCTCGCCCCTGGTTAGCCCGGTCTCACAAGTCCACTTGCTGCAACACGCTTCCGATAACGAACTGCGTCACCGCAACTTCACCGGAGGCTTAGACCACCACTGGTGGCTATAAAACCCAAGCCGCCAAGCTCAGTTTCATCATTGCTCCGTTACCTCTGATGAGCGTAGTGTCACTATGCTCGATATGATGCTTTTCCTATAGATTGAATAAACAGTTACATTTTCTTGTTAGGATCCATCCTTCTGTCGACACTGCACTCTACAATCTGAAGGACGTTGATTTGAAATTAAGAATAATGAGTGTGAACTTACTTCAGATAGACTAATCGAAGACACATTCGCACGGTAGAGCGAAAATTACAGCTTCATATGACCCTGTGGAAAACAACACAGCACATTTTGCGGATCTGAAAAGCTGATATTGAATATTCTGACATTATTATCGTTCATATTCTACAGAGAACAACACACATCATTCCTACTAAAATTTGATGCACATTTCCTTACTCCTTTTCAGATAACAACTGCATGTAACTCCGTAATTTCACGTGAGGAGAAGATGCGGCCACCAACCTGCGGGCAGAACCTTGAGGCCCCGGTCAAACTGCTGGATGCTGAGCAGCAGGGAGGAGACCTTCTCCTGCAGCTCGGCAAACGTCTTGCGCCGCGCAGCGCCGGACGCACTCGATGTCGCCAGGAAAATCGACCTAGCCACCTCCTGGTACTTGCGCGTCAGTGGCCTGAACGTGAATCATTGAAAGAGTGGGCAACAACGTGCATGTTTGGATAGATCTCTGGAAATTTTCTATCATTTCTATCATTTTCTATCAGCCATTAGCTGATTTGAGCATGGCGCACTCCCTCCTTACAGAGATCGCCGTGAGAGGCCTCCACTTGTCCACGCGTGCGTGCACAATCACACTTAAAAAACAGCGCATTCGAAGAAAACAAAGTGCTCAAGGTCACGAGGCGCATGAGACGTTTTACTGTGTGGCCCTGCCATCCCTCTCTGCTTTGCTTCCAGCGCTTCCGTTGGAACGAGAGAAGAGAAAATTCAATTGCAGCATGCGACAAACCTTTGTAACTCTACTCACACTGGACGGATTCTTAAAAATTTTGCTGCGTTGAATTTGTGAGGCAATCAGCTTTTCCAGTGGATTCATTCCCTGGTTACTTGAAAGAGCGCTTCAGAGCCCCTTTAAAACAGCTGTCCTAATGTCAACGTGGGGCTTCTATTCTGCCCTAGTGCAACGCTATTATTTGTACTAATGCGAAGACAGCGGCCTTTCACATTAGTTGGTGCTACCATTCTGTTGGCGCAAAATGCGGATTCCTTTGGTTGTTGAGGTGCTCTGGCAGGCAATATGCATATTGTAGACAAAATACGTAGGCTTTAGACTAAAAGATCAGTCTTTATGGTAGAAAGGCGAAGAGCATTCGTTACTTGAAGAACAGTTGAGGCATGTTCATCATGGCTTACAGAATCAGCCACAACTGCGAGACATGGGCCCGCTTGTTATTGACTAGCTCTCATTCTTGAGCGTAAGGTAATGCAAGATATTCACAAAATAAATTTGTATCCACCACAAAGCACAATAAAGGAAATTTCAGTAGCAGCAACACAGAACCCAGTTGTAATGAAGATTAGTAATATTGATGTATATATGTATGTCATCGAATGATTGAGATGTTCACCAATACTATAAGCAGTTGCAATGTTACACGTGCCATACTTTAGCATTCATCACTCTACTATTGCAATTGTGAGAGTGGAAAATGTGGTGCTGGACGATTGAAGATACCAATAGCAAAAACTGTCTGGGCCTTATGTGTTTCAGAGTCTATATGCAGTCACATATATTAATAGACAATAAAGGAATTCACAGGTGCGAACCTAAAACATAGAAACTGGACTGGACAGAAACAAGTGCACGGATTCTCCATATTTTTTTCTATTGCCCGTGTTCTTTGTTTGCACCCATGAATTTCTTCTAGCTGTGCTCCAACTAGCCCGACATCACACATAATTAGGTCTGTGTGAAAAGTGAATTTTACGGTCTTAGCGAACTTGAAATGAATAGTGATTTTGGTAGAATAGTTTTGAATTCAATTTTAATTGTTTATATCGCATCTTATAAAAAGAAACGGGCATATTTGTCATGACCCAACTACCCTACTCGAAATTTTTGAAAAATTGAAAAAAAAAAAGAAAAACCCGGAATGGCATTTACAAAGTTGGTGGAAATGCCATTTTTTCTGGTCCAAAAAAAGTGGAAGCAGCTTTGAATTGTAACAGGATTTGACTTTTCAACAGAATGCAAGCGATAACCAATAAAATATGTTACATTTTAAAATTGACTATACTTTGGGCATTTGGGCATATAAGCTGTTATAGGAGGGTTATAAGAAGCGAAAACTGCTTCCGCTTCTTCGTCGCAAGCAGAGATGAACTCATTGTAGTAGTACCGCAGTGCCAATGCTGACTTGCTAATCACCGAAAAGATGAACACGACTGACAAGGCCTCCTCAGAAAACACCTATACCTGTCTGTACCTCTTTGGCCTCCTAGATTACATTAAGTGACAAAGTTAAGAAAAACTCGAAGCGTCGCGGCTGTCATCACCTTTTCTGAAGAAAAGAGCTAAAAAAGAAAAGTCCTCGCGTTTCGTTTTCTGCTCCCTCGCTTTCTCAGGTTCCACTCCCACGCTTCCTGCTCTGCAACTCCCACTGTGCCCTCTGCCTCGCAGACCTTGCCCTCCCGTCTTGCCCTCCCTCCTCCGCTTGTAACCTGCAGCGTCGGCGTTTCAATAAAAAGAAAAAAAGAAAATTGTCCTTTAGTTGTTTTTTTCCCTCCACACTGTTGTGTGTTTTCCGAGAAGCAAGGCGTTCGTTTGCTGAGTCAACTGCTTGGGTACCGCTCTGGTGGTCACGACGGATTTAGAGTTTGTAGTACTGAAGCGCTGTTAATAGAACGCAAAACTAAATTAGCACTCGTTATTCTGAAAAGTTCAGTATTCTGAAGTACCTGATAGTGAAACCATTTTACATTGAAACTATTAGCAGTCGATGTGGGATTTTTAGACGTACGCTAATCTGAAAAGTTCACTAAAGTGGTGTTCATTCTACCAAAATTTTACTGTAGCATAAATTTAAATAAGTGCTCTCGCAGCTTAACATCCCTTCACTGCGGCAAAACCACCTTTACAAAAAGTTGCATGCGGATGAATAAACATCTATTCATTCTTTTCGAATACTTCGAAACTTTCAACACACTAAATTCGAATCAAAGCGAATTAGAATACAGTAATGGTAATTCGGATTCTCTAAACATTCAAATGTTCGCACTAGCCTACAAATTATTAATGTATGGGCAACAACTTCAGCTGCTTATACCTGAATTACTTTGAGAGAATGACAGACTGCCGCACCTGTGGATCTTCTCGGCAATGCTTTGACTTAGCTCCGGCGGGCAATCGCGAAGCAGTGGAAGCTGTTCCAGCTGCACCCGCATCTCGTCCACTGTCATGAACTCCAGTTCCTGCTGCTGTTTGGAGCGGTGGGAATGGCTCGGTCCGTCTCCAGCATCGTCTTCTGAGTCCGAGTCACCTCCACCACGGCCGCGTCGCTGCTGCTTTTTGGGTTTCACCGCCTTGGTCTTGGTCTCTCGTCCTTGAGTTCCACCACCTGACTTGCCACCTGGACAATTATGGGAGGGTGATTTTATTGGAAAGAACCAAACAAAAAGCATGCAGTGTGCTTGAACTTATGTTTAAGGGGATAGGGATACAGTAAACATGTACAGAACTCGCCAACTGAAGCGTGACCACTTAATGATAGGTAACACAGATGCTTTCATTTCCACCATCTTCAGTTTGTGTCCTATCACCATAATTTAAACTCAAACACTTACAACAGAGTCAATATTAGTATTAATGGCCAGGTTTGTTGCTGCATGATGCAGTTATCTAAGGAAATTGCACATTAAAAGTGTTACACTGAAACTTTTGGCTTTGCATTTCATGAGAACTGTACAGTAGGATCCTCACAAATTGAAACCATTTCAGTCAAACTGACTGATGATTTCAAATTTCTGGCTGGTCCTATTAAGGTTCAATGCATACGAAAAGCAACTAAAGCCCTAAGAGCCACCTGAAAATTGCTTCTAAGGAAATTATCCACTCCTACAAACAGTGACAGGCAAAAGTGACACCATTTTGCCTCCCACTTCTATGTGTCCCCAATACCTCAAAATAACGCAACCACCAATTCTAAGTGTGAAGCGTGAGCTTGGCTAAGAATGGCTGAGCTGATAAGAATAGCAAATGCATACTCTACTCGGGTGGCAAGCTGGGCAAGTTGGTGCAAGTTCATATTTGAAAGAACTACAAAAAAAAAACAAAAAAACATGGACACGAAGAGGCCAGCCTGTTGTCCTGTCCTCTCCGTTTTTCTGCGTGCATCTTTTTTGCACTTTCTTCAAATACAAATGTTCACTTTCCTCTCTCTCTTGCTACCACATGCATCCTCTCCTGACTCTCAGCTATTGAGTTCTCACCTCTGACCTCCACTAATAAAAAATTAAATCAATCTTCGGCAATTATACCAGCCAGACTACATTTTTAATGCAGTAAAAACTGCTTGGCTTCTGAAATGTTGCTGCACAATAGTAAGCGACTCCCCCATACTGGACACACACTCTAACCTCATTATATCAAAGTTGCATCTTACAAAAAAATATGTTCGTTATATCCAAACATTTGTTATAAAGATTATCTTTAACAATATATCTATTTCAAGACGATTTTCATTTACTTCATCATAACCGATATTTCCCTATATCCTAGTTCATTATATTGAAGTCTAAGTGTATTGGCATATACTGTCATGCCTAGGCCCTTTGATTTCACAGCTCAAGCTAACATAAAGTTCAGCACTGGTCAACTAGCACGAGATCAGTACCTGTTGCCTTCTTGCGGCGTTCATCCTTCTTATCCTGCCTGTCCTCAGCTGGGGTTGGCGTGGGAGCAGCGGGGGCCGCCTGGCGATGGTGCGACTGTGGCGCTGGTGCAGCTTCGAGGAAGATCACACCCTTCTGAGAGTCCTGTCATGGAGCCACGGCAAGACAGTGCAAGAAAATTTAAAATCTGCGTGGCCTATTCCAAGTACACATGGGGCTGCATTCGAGTTCCATGCAACACGACCTTGTTAGGAATGTCTTCTGATGAGACTACTGTTGGACACAAAAGTGAACAGAATTACAGGCCGCGAAACCCCGACAAATGGCTTGGTGAATTCAGCTGTAGATTTAACGAGTTGTCCACTACCACTATCAATAATCCAATGATACAATGTGGTTCATCATCTGCCGCACGCCTTTTGCACAGTGTTGAAATGCATTAGCAGTGCCTCTGCACAAGTTGTTTTTATGGCCGCCAGTGCAGGCGGTGCGACCAGCCCCAGTGGTGTCACAACAAACTGCAAAATTTCAGCATCTTACTTGCTTCTTGTCGCGAGATACAGACGAACCCATTTTTAATGAACTCGGATGTACCCTAAAAGGTGGTCAATATATCAGTAGTTGTATATGAGCTCACCCTAAAAAACGTGCGCTTGGTGACCATGCCATTTTACTTTTCTGGTAGCATATTTATTTTAAAAATGCAAACAAACCTTCCTTGGAGAAGGACCTTTGCATTGAGAAGTAACCCCTGCTGCATGCCCACGAGTAAATTACACTGCATTTGAAATTAACCGACACCGTATCACTGCAGTCCATAGGTCTGCAGACTGACTCACGAGTCAACTCGCTCAGGCTTGGATCGAGTCGTGAGTCGAAGCCTGAGGAAGTTCGAGTGTGCAATGTTTTGTTATTTATGCGTTTCAAGGAGTACGGTTGAGAAGAATTTCAGCGAGTTTAAGCCTGAACGAGTTCGGTCGAGGAAAATTTTGGCGAGCCAGAGTGCGAGCGAGCACCAAGCCCAAAAGATATTTCTTGGGCATGTCTAAGAGTTCCACATTTTTTACAGACCTATGCTGCAGCCTGCTACCGCCCCATGAAGACAATTACCCCTGGCTTAGTGCGTGCAGTGCAGTGTCTATCAGGCGCATACTGGGTACGGTATGCACATATCGGCACAATATTTGTGCCTGTTTCACCCGGGCCCATGTGTGGGCGCGGTGAGTAGCCTCTGCAGTCTACGCAGTGAAACAAACATTCTGCAAGACTCAATGTCACTGCAAAGCTCTAGTTTTCCCGCATGATGTGGTGCGGCAGGCTTCGGTTGACGCCTAATCAAACATGCAGTTTTCCGCCAGCACTGAAAGTTGAGAAAGTTGGTATGGGAACGTTTTTTGAAAAAGCTGTGTAGCAGGATCAAACACGAAGGAAGAAAGGACACTTGTCTTCTTCCTTGTCCTGGCTTATTTCTTGTAGTGTCGTTTTACACTAGAAAAGCAACACGGTGTCAGAAATCTTTTATGCTCTAAGCTCAAAGCATGAAATGTGACAGTTTTTTTAAGGCCATGGGTTATTATTGCAATGCATAAGGGTGAAGCTAGAATTCATCAAACTTCTAGGCAGCTATTAAGACTTCGTCAGTAATCCATTGCTGGTTTATAACAAACAAATGAAGTGAAATCTGCATGCCGGGTAAGTTCAAAAATGGATTGGAGCAGCATGAGACGACTCGCTTCCATTTTCTGCTACTTTTGAAACATTCTTTTAGACTTCACGTTTTAATATTTTGCAGTGGAGAAGACTCCATAAATGCTTGCATATCCGTGTAGGAATCATAAAATAAACAAGAAGGAATTATTAAAAGTGAAGAGTGCGCGGGAAATAGTGCATGAAGCCAAATACTTGCACAACGCTTTCTTCTTCTAAAGTACTCGCCCTGAAAGTGCACAAAATATATGTTAGCGAAAAAGTTCACTAAAAGCTAGGGTTGTGTGAGTATTCGATATTTCAAACATTTTTCTAATATTATCTGCTATTTGATTTGATTTGCATCAGAATTTTGCTATGAGAACTTCTGAAAGACTAATGCAGTCACCATCCAATTGCAATGGTTTCTTCTGGTATTTCACTATGCTTCACCCCGTCACTTCCTTGTATTGCATCAGAGCTGCCTTTCAGGCTCTGCTAGTCTCAAACGAATGTATTGACTTGAGAAAAACCTCATTCCAACATGTAGATGATAGATGCGGCCGAAATGGGGGCTCAATTATCCCTTTTTTGGACCTGATTGAGGCAGAAAGTCAGAAAAATAGGACGCCAAGGATCTTTAACATCAAGAATTTCAGATGTTCTGATATACTGATGCCTATGAGGCAGATTTAGAACTAAGGACATGAAGGGAGCACACCCTTGTCTCCACATCAATTGAACTTCCACAGAGGAGGAGAAGCTGTAGAAATGGCATCTTCGTCTTTCACGTGTAAAGTGTTGTCTCCAACACCTTAGCTGCACAAAATCACGAACATGAAAACAATTTGTCCTCTGCATTGCCTCATTCTTGATAAGACAACAATAAGACACCACCCTGCCAGTGCTTAATCAACCTAGCAAAAAGAGACACTGCTATATTGGTATTTTGTAAAAATAAGCTTAAAAACCCTCTCCAACTTTTTTTTTTCCAGCAATTTCACTTCAAAGTATTCAAAGAATAACCAAGAAATAATATTAGAAAAATATTCAATTCTATTCCCACTCGCACTTCAGCGTTAAAATTCATTTTGCACCCAAAATTTTGCGATTTACACAGCTCTGCTAAAAAGTCCTGCGTCTTGTATGTTTCCAGCACATAACATGCAAAAAGCAAGACACTAGTGGGAGCATAGGCATCAGCACTCAATTTATGCATTTATTTTAACTTTCACATGATGGAGTTGATCCCCCATATATATTGAATTTGAGAGCAGAGGAAAAATAACTCAATATACAACAATCCATTATATATAGTGTGCCCACTTGAACTGCATTTGAAATGTTGCAGGACCTTGGACAGTATTCCATAAGTGAGAAAAGAGGAAAGTGCCCAATCAGCTTTTTCAAAGTTAACTCGTCAAAGTGCTACCTTTTTATGCCTGAACGTCGCAAGTCGTTCGCGCACCTAGTTATCTTTGGCATACGGATGACAATGTTAACTATCGGAGCTCGGACTGCTCAACTGATTCAGGATAAAAAAGAAATCGATGCCGCACAGAAGTAAACCAGCACAGAAAGAATGGCTGCGTAAAGCTGAGAGTCTCTTTCGAAGATTCACATTTAGGGTTATCTTATTGAGAAACTAGTGCAATCAGGAGAGTTCCTTTTGCTTCAGGAGCTGGCATGACCATTGAGACAAATCACAAGATGCACAGGTAGTCAACCAAAAGGTTTCACTAGCCAATCTTTAACATGTGATAAATCACTTCCAAGGCTTTCTCCTGGCTGGCAGGCAGCAGACTAACTGGCAGTAGCCATCAGCGTTTAGACGGTGCCAAATGGCCAAGAAGTACCATGCAGCAGTACCTTACCAGTTCAGCTTTTGTGGTCATGAGTGGGTCGAAAGACCGCACGCAGGTCTCCATGAAGGCATCACTGATGATGATGGTGTCCAGCAACTGCTGCACCGACTGACTGGCGTTGCGCGGCCGCGACTTGAGCACCGACTGCACGATGCCCGACACGTCCTCCGGGGTGAACACTGATGGTAGCAGAGGCTGCGGCGATAGAACAAAGGTCACAGAAAATCCACGTAGCGCTGTTTAACAGACAGGGGCATGAATTCCTGCAACTAACAGGAAAGGAAGGAGCAACACAAATGCACAGCTGCGTAGCTTGGTAGACTGCTTACCAAGCTAGCATACTATAGTTAATGAGCGATACGCTATGAGCTTTGTGATGGTAAACAAGGCTGTAAATAAAGTGGGAAGATGCAGGGACTCACTGCGACGTCCACCCAGGAGCCCGTGCCAGCAGCCTCGTCGATAGCGGCTTCAACCTGCGCCAGTAGCGTCTGGCCAATGCACAGCGACTTGAGGAAAACAAGTGACTCGTCCTTAAAGTGACGACGGATGTAGGCTTTGGGGTCTGGTATTCCTAGTCTCACCAGGGCATCGTACTCTGCGCACACAAAGGCAGTAACCTGATAAAATAATACAAAAAAATTTGTCAGTTTGTGTGCCGCTTCCCACAACCGCAGGAAACGTAACCTAGGGCATTAAGGATATAGTCGTGAGCGGCAATGATGCAGTTGTGAATACGTGTGGTGTTGTGGCCCGATATAGGCATGAAATAGTCACAGTTGGTATACCTTGGAGTTCGCTAACGTTGAAAGGCCTATGTGGAGGCAACTGCACGTTGTTCTTTTCTCTCATAGACTAGGCAAGGAACAATGTAAAGAGTCTGAACACCATGCAATGCAACAATATTGATACATTTGATCAAAAAACAGTGGAGTGTGGTAATGTATTCTTTCCTGAAATAATTTTACAAAGAAAAAAATGGGCCTTTGTATTGTCATTCTTTGAAAATGAATGGTGCATCAGCCGCGCTCATTTAGATGAGCAGCGAACTACGCACACTGTAACCTTTACTGTAAAGAGCAGTGTAAGAAACGATCACAAAGAAAGCGAGGAGGCAACAATGTGTTTGTCAACAGCACCATGTTTGTTGTGTCACTCTGTTCTGCTGTTGTCCCTTGCGCTGCTTTCAGCCAAGAAGATACATTCATGCCAATTCTTTTGAATAATGCCTCTGTTGGATGTGTAAGAACACTAGAGAGACCCCACACAGTGCATTCTGAAGGAATGAGGCGAAGTTGCGGCTGAAACTGCCCTCGTAAGCTTCAAACCTGTGCCAAGAGTTGTTGCATACCAAGAAAACCGTTCTGTCGGTAGCAGGCATCCACCCAGTTGGCCTGCGAGCGGGAGTACAGGTCCGGCACGTACGAGGCACGCTCCGAACGGCCTCCGACAAGGGTGCCCGCCAGGCGGCCTTCCTTCAGGAGGTCCTCAATCATGCCTGTAGCATGAAAAACGAAAACGAGTGCCAATCAGTAAGGCCCTTCAAATGGCTTACCTATGCAGAACTCTTCACAAGAACTGAATGAACATCAGTTAAGGGGACACTTAAGTCAAATACCAATTTAAGTCATAGTGAAAGCTCAATGTACGACAGTCTAAAACGACAAGATTATCATCAGCAGTGCTCTACTTACCGAAAAATTAAAGTAAATGCGCGAGAACATATGCACTGCGAGTAGGACATTTTGCAAAATGACCCCGATGACATCAAACTTACCACCTACAATTAATCACTAATAGTAATCGAACTAGCTGCACTGAATAACGAACCTTCTGTGCATCAAGATATGTAATAAAATGCTGTTTGTTTCTTTCAGTTTGTCAGTTTGAAAGAAGAACCACCAGACCTTACTTTGTAGAATGGTGCAAGTGATTCAAAAGCTCAATTTTCGCCTGGTTAAACTGGACAGGTCGTGCCATCTAGCGGGGCCCAGTTGAACCAAGCACACACACCTGCCATCTCAAAGACCATGGCAGATAATTGTTCAACGGCCGTTTTTGCTGCTGTGGCCTCTGCTACTTTCGTTCTGCTGCTATTAGTCTCGGCAGCCACGCAGTAAAGCTGGGCAACAGTGTTCGGCAACAGTGACATGAAAGGTTCCACTTGAGGCGGGTAATTTGAAGTGTGCTAATGCAATTCAGAGCACTAAAACAGGATTTTATATCAAAATAAGCACTTCCTAAGCACAAAAGTAACACTACAAGGATTCTAGACCGCTGTTTTAACAATCAACATCGACTTATTACTTGACTTTAGTGTCCCTTTAACAAAAAAGGCAGCCACTTTCAACAGTTATAATTCTTTTCTATCTGAGAGTATTACAGCTAAAACATCTCAACATTCTTCCAACAGGTTATAAGCGCTGAATATTTTTTCATAGCATGTACAGTCGCGCTCATATGGCTTGCAACATGGAAACACGTGGCCTCATGGGCTCAAAGACGGAGCATTGTTTCCACTAGCGCTTATTTCTATTACTGAACCCCTTTCTCTCACTTGGCTATAATACCAAATAAGAAAAACAAGTTGATGAAATAAAAGCAAGTTGAAACCTTTCAACTTATGAGGCCCCGCACTCTCTTGTTGCAAGTAAAAATGAGTGTGCCTATACATATTGCATCCTTATTTTTCATATATATTTTTCTTATGTCCAAATTGGCTGTCACACCAATATCCTTGGTCTGCCTATCTCGGCAGCGCTGTTCACGCTGTGGTCCTTACATTCGCACTACATTTCATACCAGGGGTATTCAATAGACTCAATGAAATTGTGAGAGGAACTCACCATACAATAACTTGTCTGGGAAGTTGAATGCATTCACTAGGCTGCTCAGGGTCACCGGCCTGTCCAGAACACAAACAGAATAAAACAGTGTTGTAACAAGGTCATGTGCATAAACCCTGCATGCTTCTATATATCAAAACTGGGGGAACTGCCATTTCCACAAGGAAAATTTACATACAAGAGGCAGAAGCTAGGTTCCGTAGCGTCTTCATGAAATGAGGAACAAGCCGAATTGAGAACGTTATGAAATACCGTACAAAATTCAGTATGTTCACAGGAGATAAGCACTAGGATTTACCTTCCGAACTTTTCAACGTTTATTGTGGCATCTATTGTGCATGGCACAAGATGATGCCCTAGGCTGCTGACAGGCACAATTGACTACACCAGTGGTTCTCAGTCATGGATGTGCACCCATTGTGGACTAGGGGAAGCGATGGGGGATTCCTTGTCGCAAAGGGGAAGGAGGGGAAGGGGTGTACATGGTAAATAACACAATCAGAGCAGACACAGGTGCCTTTTATAGTTACCAAAAGCATAAACAAACTAGACACATTACTTCATTTTGGACAGTTCATCGATACGTGGCACAGTCACACTTAAAGAAAACTCGGGTGAGAGTTTCGCAGATCATAAAAGTGGCTTCACGGACCCCCATTTGAGAACCACTGGACTACACCATTAATGCGCAATTCGCGTTCTTTAAGCAGATGCTTTGCTGCTCAGTGAAAACTACCTGAGCATCAAAGCTTCACAGCATGAAAAGCATTTCTTAATTCAAGTATTTTTAACAATCTTAAGAGGCTGTGGTTGCGTTCATATTTCTCATTTCATAGCATTTGCGGTGGATCACACCACTACCTAAGATTACACGCCAATGTCCTGTTATTTTATTCCTTTGACAGGCCATATGAAATGTAACATTATTAGTTCCTCATTTTGTTTACTGTGACAGACACAATCTCCATAACATATGTTTTTTACTTTTTGTAGTCTGCTCCAACATAGAAGTGAATAAAATGATTTCAATATACCACAAAAGTAAGTACTGCAAAGAATTTAAATGTGTAAGACTTTTATTAACTAGAGCTGTGGGATTACCGTATTTACTCGATTCTATCGCGCCCTCGATCGTAACGCGCACCTTATTTCCACGACGGAAAAAAAAAAAAGAAGTAAGACATTGATTGCAACGCGCACCCATTTTTCTCGCTGGCCGGCACGATCACATTACTCAAAAAAACGACTCTATTCAGGAGCGTCTTCCATTTAAATATGAGGTACAGGGGAAGCTTGTGCCCATCTGACGTGTAACAGAGCATTGCCGTCACTGTAGTTTTACCGTGGACCGATGTCAGCACGCAAACTTGCTTCGCCCCCTTCTTCTCGGCGGTTGTGGTGCCAGGCATGTTGAAGTAAAGAGGCGTCTGATCGGCATTCCTGATTTGCCCAAGCAGGTAGCCGTTGTTGTGCCGCAAGTTTAGGACAAACCTCTGAAAACTGTGAAGCTTTTCATCGTACTCCTCCGCAAACTTCTCACATATGCCCGTTCACCTTCGGAGGGAAAAGCCTTTTCTCTTCATAAAGTTAGTTAGCCAGCACCTGCTCGCTTTAAACTGGCTCCGCATTAGACCTTTTTTTAAGGCTAATTGCATAGCCCGCACTTGGAGTAGTTCTGTCGTCACAGGCCGCTGTGCCGCTCGCTGATCAAGCACATACTCGCCGAGCAGCTCTTCAATTTGTGGAAACCGACCCTGCTGTGGTCTACTGAAGCCTTTGCGTGAAGCTTTGCTGTCGACAATCTTCTGCTTTTGTTTCCGCCAGTCCCGCACGCACGTTTCGGGAACTCCGAACGACCGCGATGCGGCCCGATTTCCGTTCGTTTCGGCACACGCAATGACTTTTAAAAGCAGCATCGTGGTGCGCTCGAGTTTTTGGAGTCGGCTCTTCCATGCCGTCGATGCTAATGCACTACAAGATGACGAACTCCTCAGCACACGTACGAAGTGCCGCACATGGGTAACACATAGGCAGAAATGGCCAACACGCCATGCAAACGCACGTAGGGGGCGGCTATTTTGGAAATGCCGATTTAAATAGAATGACCGTACTCATTTTTTTTTGTACTCGATTCTAACGCGCATGCAATTTATGAACTCGCTTAACCGGAAAAAAGATGCGCATTAGATTCGAGTAATTACGGTAGTAACTTGGCTAGTAAGCGAGTCCGAATATTGAAGTGAGCGCGAATCGAATCAAACATTTTTTTAAATACGTCAAGAATATTTTTTCAAATACTCTGGAGCGATAGTGCTGGAAAAAAAGTTAGAGAAGTTTCCCAAGCATACTCTTACAAGATAACAACATGAAAGCGTCTCTTTTAGCTAGGTTGATTAAGGGGAGATCCGGGTCGAAAAACACCTTGCCGCTGACAATGCGCCGCTGCTCGCCATTGTCGACCGCATGAGGCGAAGAACCGAGCCTCACTCTTCAAATAGCGACGGTTTCCCGCGCTGCTGCAACGCAAGAAATAATAAAGAGAAGCGCGCTTTTGCCGCCTTTTTCGAGCGCCGCGACTGGCTTTTAAATCACGTGGTACGGATCGGGAGCCGCCATTGGCCGCTGTGCGCCTGTGTGTGCTGTGAAGCCTACTAGCAGGATCCGTGTCTCGTCGAGCAGCACAGCTGAACAACGCTTTTCTCGAGTGCTTATTCGTTATGGATGAAGAAAGCCGTAGGAAGCGCGGTCACCGGCCTGTGAAGTTTCACGCGACGCACAAATTTCGAGGACGCCGGCGCAAATCAAAGCTGAACACTCAAACCACGAAAAGATTGTCTGCTGCCGCAAAACATAGTGGCAATGACGCCGATGCGCCCGACGAGTTTGCCGCAGCATTCGAATATGTGAGTGCCTCCCAGAAAAAGATCGGACTCTTCGAAGACGAAGAAAAATCACAGGACGACGAGTCTTCGTTGATTGCTGATGTGACAGCACTGAACATGCTTGTTGTGCGCGGTGCAATGTGTCCGACGTGTCGCCATTTGGGATTACGTGTCCGGGAACCGGCCGACAAGCGGAAAGGACTTGCGTCGTTCGTCGAACTCCACTGCCCAAACAGTGAGTGCCCCGAGACTATTCTTTCGGCGACATATACTTCCCGGCGAGTAGCTTCAGGCGGGGAGGCCAGCGTGAGCGTGGCGGGTGACGGAATGACCGCGAGGAGAACATACGACAGCGGGAGCTCGCGCGATAGCTACGCTGTCAACGTGAAAGCTGTTGTGGCGGCGCGCTCTGTAGGCATGGGCTACGAGCAGCTAGTCCGATTTTAATGGCAGTGGCCACTACAAGGAGAATTTTTCTTTCTTGTGTACAAATTTCGTCGCATTCAATGACATCTTTGATAAATAAACATGCAATTTTGACTTTAAAACTTCTTTTTCTCAAAACACAAATTTTGCCATTTTTGTCAATGTGCCCCTCCTTTTTCGGGTACTTCTGGTGCTCAGATCTGCATGAAATTTTTCCCAAATTTTTTCCAAAGTACGAGAAATGCAATTATCTTGTTTAAGTTTCAATATTCTGTTATATAATAAAAAAAAATTATGTAAACTTTTACTAGGGTAGGATAAATATGAACTTCCCACGTTAAAATTTTTCACGTCTAGTACATATTTTGTATGGACTTCCAAATTAGTTGTTTGCATTCCACACTTCATTTGAAACATTATGAACTATCAATTGTAAAAAATTAATGAAGCTTAGGTATGAAAAGAGGGGGGGCAAAGGGCTTAAGTTTTTCACTTTGTCAAGTTGCAAAACTAAAAGTATGCAACTTGCAAGACAACTCATTATATATTCGAAATCAGCATAAAAAGTTCTATAAGCACCTGAAGTTTCATTGCTCTCGAATGAATATTAAAAAAAAAGTGTCTTCGACCCGCATCTCCCCTTAAGCACTGGCAAGGTGGTGTTTCATAGTTGTCTTATCAAGAATGAGTAAATGCAGAGGCCGAGCTGGGATTTCATGCAACCAAAGTGTTGCCAACGACACTTTACACATAAAAGGGAAACACGCTACTTTCTCAGACTCTCTCTCAACTTCTGTGAAAGCCCAATCTGAAATTTTGGATGCTAAAAATTTTTGGCGTCCATTTTTTCAAACTTTTTCACCCAAACTTCAGGTCTGAAACAGCATTAATTTGGCACCCGCCCCCGCCCCATCTATCATCTCCACATTGGAACCACCGTTTTTTAAAGTCAATATAATCGCAACTACAGCAGAGCCTGAAAGGCAGCTTTGACGCAATACGAGAATGCGATGGGGTGAAGCATATTAAAAAAATCTGAAGGGGACCACAGGCAGTTGGATGTGGACTGTTTGTCTTTGGGAAGTTCAAATGGTAACATTCCAGTGTGAACCGAATCAAATAGCAAACACTAATAAAAAAATACTTGAAATTTCGAATATTTGCACACTCCTGCTTATTAACTACAAGACATTCACATTAAATTTTGGATTCAGTATACAGTCCTAAAGTGGTGACAGAGAATGGATTTATCGCAAATGGTAACAATTTGCGGCATATAGGTATCAGTGGCACAGCTAGTATACATTCACCGACTATTCATTTGGACTCTACAGGAATCACTGAAAAGTGTAAATAATCCAGTCCGAAAAAAAAGTCACAAAAAAAGGGAAAAGAACAAGCACCTTTATCAGCCGAGTGGCGGGAAAAACTTGTCAATGTGTGGCTACACACACCTATGCAGGACCAAAAAGGTTTGGCCATCATTGTATCTTAGCGATAGCTCTGCTACAATTTGCACTACATCCACATTCCATAACTGTGGTGTGAGCAGCATCTTACCATCGCAATCACCTACCATCTGCACCAATTCGAGAACCTGGTGGATGAACTCATTGTCATGAAACTTGGCGAACACTCTCAAGCTACACCATACTGTGATAGCCCGCCTTCTTTCTGGCAAATACCTACTGTTCTTCCTCTCATTGTCAGTGTATTGTAGCTGCCGCGTTTCTTCATTATTCCCTATGGTGCCGATGCAATGCGTGGTACAACTGGCGTCGCAGCAATTTCAGCAGATCAGGCCTTTCATGCCAAACAACTACTAACAAGAGACCGAGAAGCAAAGCGCGAGAAACAATCGGGCCTAGCCACAACAAATGACAACGCAAAACCTTCAAAGGCCAAAAGGGAATGATGCTGCGCTAGTTGGGATTGCAGTGCTCATGCAGCGTTAGTGTTCTCTTGTTGTCTACGTTGTGTGCGCTGTCATTCACTTCAGACCTCGGAGCTCAAAACTGAAACACCTCACCAAGCTAAATTTGATGGTAGCTTGGCTTGTCCTGCTGTTTGGCCCTGGTAGCTATTCAATGGATACTTGACTGGCTAAAGTCAGCCATTACATGTAGCCAAGAAACGTGTCCTTCGAGAGTGGCAATTAATTTCTGTGTGGATTTGGACACTGGCACTACCTCTATATTTAGCCAATGCAACTTTTCAGAGTTGGCAACCCAGCAAAAATATTCTAAACATTGCTGACAGCCTGTCATGGTGGTCCAATTTGCGCTGCTCGATCAACCAGCCCTAGTCAGAAAAACTGAACGACAAACTGCGGGGCGGCCAAATTTTTAGCCGGGAGTTTACATTCCTTCAATTGGATAAATGGTAGAGCCATGAAGCTGTCTGAATAAACGAGTACATCCGAATTACCAGTCAGAATAAATGTCTGAATAAATGTCAGAATAAATGGTTGCACCATCGCCATTTACTCTGATGCAAAACGTGAAATAAAAATATGCCTTCAGTGCATTATTGACCTCAACATTTGTTACATGTCATGTAAGATGCACATATATTCATCCGACCTTATTATCAGAAATAAATATTTTACTACTAATAACTGGTGCCTTATGTGCTAACTGACAATATCTTTATAAGGCACGCCTTAGCAAAGGGCTCCAGATTAATTCCGATCTCCTGAGGTACCTTAATGCACGCCTGAATCTAACCATTATTAGTGTTGTGCCATTCACTCTCATTTAAATACAGCCACAATGGTCGGAAATCAAAACCCATATCCTTGAGAAAAAGAAACATCTTAGAATTGACTTACTGAATCATTGATTTGAACATATGAATAAATTATTAAATCTGCCTTTTCTAACTATCAAGGCTTTATGGTCTTATTCAGTGATGTTGGCAAGCTATCACTTTTATGTGCTTAGAATGTCTGCAATTCGAAGACAATGGACAGGCAATTCTGGAGTGTGCCTGCTTTGGCAAAATGGAACTCTGCAGGAACGAGGAGCTGCTCACCTGATGGCCGCCGAGAGTGCACCTCGGACACGGTACTTGTGCCGGGTGACGTAGGCGTCGGTGAAGATGTGACGGCTGTCGTGAGGGTCAGCCCGACCTCGAATCACCGTCCCCAGCCGCGAGTGAATCACCTGCATGATGCAAAAGATAGAAGGCTTGGATCTAGGACCAGAGGTACAATCCAGATGGCAGGCAGACATACCGTATTTACTCGATTCTACCGCGCCCTCGATTGTAACGCGCACCCGATTTCCACCGCGAAGAAAAAAAAAGTAAGACATCGATTGCAACGCGCACCCATTTTTCTCGCTGGCCCGCACGATCACACCACTCGAAAAAACGACAAAAAAACGAAAAACGATGAGGTACGGGTGAAGCTTGTGCCCATCTGACGTGTAACAGAGCATTGCCGACACTGTAGTTATACCGTGGACCGATGTCAGCATGCGAACTTGCTTCGCCCCCTTCTTCTCGACGGTTGTGGTGCCAGGCATGTCGAAGTAAAGAGGCGTCTGATCGGCATTCCCGATTTGCCCAAGCAGGTAGCCGTTGTTGCGCCGCAAGTTTAGGACGAACCTCTGAAAACTGTGAAGCTTTTCATCGTACTCCTCCGCAAAACTTTTCGCATATGCATGTTTCCCTTCGGAGGGAAAAGCATTTCCTCTTCATAAAGTTAGTTAGCCAGCACCTGCTCGCTTCAAACTGGCTCCGCATTAGATCTTTTTCTAAGACTAATTGCATAGCCCGCACTTGGAGCAGTTCTGTCGTCACGGGCCGCTGTGCCGCTCGCTGCTCAAGCACATACTCGCCGAGCAGCTCTTTAATTTGCGGAAACCGACCCTGTTGTGGTCCACTGAAGCCTTTGCGTGAAGCTTTGCTGTCGACAATCTTCTGCTTTAGCTTCCGCCGGTCCCGCACGCACGTTTCGGGAACTCCGAACGACCGCGACGCGGCCCGATTTCCGTCCGTTTCTGCGCACGCGATGACTTTTCTTTTAAAAGCGGCATCGTGGTGAACTCGAGTTTTTGGAGTCGGCCCTTCCACGGCGTCGATGCTAATGCACTACTAAATGACGAACTCCTCAGCACACGTACGAAGAGCCGCACATGGGAAACACATAGGCAGAAATGGCCGACGCGCCATGCCGACGCACGTAGGGGGCGGCCATTTTGGATTTGTCGATGGCAATAGATTGACCGTAATTTTTTTGCTCGTACTCGATTCTAACGCGCATGCGATTTATGAACTCGCTTAACCGGAAAAAAGGTGCGCGTTTGATTCGATTAATTACGGTAAACTTAGCTACTGACCACAGTGTATTACAATCACAAATAGCGAAGGAGGGCACCTCAATCATTACCTCTCACCCAAAGAAATGTGCTACATGAAAAATTGATTACATGCACACAAAGAATACCGCAGTTATGAGGGTCAACACAATAAATATAGACAAGTACTTACATGTTTAAATACCCATGAGGCCGAGCTATGATTCCGATGGGGTATAATTTCACACAATAGGAAGCTACGAAACTCCCACAGGTAGCCAGTACCTAAATCAATTATTAAAACATCGCAGCTGGACAAAAATGCTCTAGGAATGTTGCTTGAATCGCTCTGCAAGTTCTCCTCTCAAAGACACACAGGGTGAAGAAAAGTTTGTTCCTGTTTTCTAAAATGCAACCAAAAAGCAATAGCTACCATTGTGAGAAATAAAATGTTGTTGCCATAAACATTACACATGAAATCTAGAATACCATTTTCAGGGAGCTTGGCTTCTCCCTCGATAAATACCAGTGCCCAATCCCACACTTGTTTGAAACCCTGTACCTCTGCTACGGCTGAAGGTGGTCTTACATAAATGTTTTACACAGCCAAGGTTGCAAAATGCTGTCTTAAACTCTCATTTCCAGGAACAGTTAACACAAAAAGTTTTGAAGAAAATGCAACAAAAACTGCCGCAAGTCAGGTACAATCCTGCGGCAACCTGTCAAGGGGTGCTTAAAAAATATTCAAAATATAGCCAGATAAGCAACATTAGAAGGAATGTTCACTGCTGTGGACTGGGTACCAAGTGCAGCTTAAAAAGTGGAAATTACAGCATTTAGGAAAGTGCTAAGAGCTCCGAGTAAGGATAAAGTGTTTTTTTTTAAAGTTTGCAAAAGTAAGATTTAACATTGTAAGCATCACTTTCTGGCCTGTATTTGTTTCATACTATGCATGTTTAAAAGTTTATACTTTGTGCACTGCCGAGTTTCAGAGCTGCTAACACACCTCCAGTGATTCGTAGGAACCGTCACTTCGTTTCATTTTGATACTTCAAAAATCTTGATATACATTGGGTAATAAATACATAAGAAGACCCGTACGGTATAAAGATGTGTTGATAAGTTATACATAATAATACAGTGGTAATGAAGTCATAATCAGAAATCAAGCAGTAATTAAGTCACCAATCCATCCTGCAGATCTTGCTTTTTCTTTCACTAATTTGTATCACACAAAGGTGGTGAGTAGAATCACGTTTCAGTAAGTCATGTTCCAAGTTTTCTTTCTACCTGAGGACTCTCATCTCTACTTATTGTATCAATTATCCATCTTATATTTATGCATTATGTTTTGCATTTAAGTTAATAATTGATATATGATGAATTGTTTTTTTTCCTGCTACTAGTATTTTTGTAACTGCTTGCCATCTATTCAGGTTGTACAGTGCAGTCCACTTATAACGATACCACATATAACGATATATCGGTTATAACGATGGGTCGACTTAACAGTCTCATTTTATGCATTGGGGCTATGGGGAAAAAAACCATATATAACGATATGTTATCCACCGCATATCGGATACAACGATGAAAAGTTTGCCGTGGACGGCATGTTTCATTCAGAATAATCGTAACATTTAGATTGATAAGTTCCTCTGAAACGAACTATGCCGAGACAAGACGAAAAGTTAGCGTAGGCGAGTACGTATCTGCCGCCACTGCAGCACAGCGCCGGCAGCGCGTCCCGGCCGTTCAAAAAGCCGAGGAGAGCGTCGCGAGTTGGCGCGACGCGCTACTGATGGCGCCAGCTGTGCCACGTTTTGCGCCTCGCCGCGCGTCGACCGCGGAGAGGCTGAGAGAATTTAAAAAAAGTGCGAAAAGCAAAGCGCCGCGCTCCGCGGCTCCCCGCCTTCTACAACGGCAAGCCGGCAAGCTACTTGTAGCTTGCCGAACGAAAGCGGGAAAGAGAGAAAAAAAAAAAAGTGAAAAGCAAAGTGGCGCGGCGGCATCGGGGCGGGGCCTCGTTGGCATTCCGGCTATGTACCTCTGGCTGTGCTTTCTTCCTCCCACTGCTTCCACCCCGCCGTCGGTCAGTTTCTCTTCCTCAGCGAACCCGTGATGCGTTCTTCGGAGTAAGAAATAAAGTCTTGTTTTTGACATCCTACTATCTACAATATTTATTAATTGGTGAAAATAGCGAAATGAAGCCTGGAGCTACAAAAGACACGTCCGGCGACGATTTTTGGCGGCAGTCCAGATATAACGATCACCGGTTATAACGATCATATTTTTTGGTTTTCTCGATATCGTTATAAGTGGACTGCACTGTAGTACCTATGAACTACTGTGAAATTTTTTTAAACTTTGCACTTTCTGTAGTGACCTCTTTTTTTAATATTGCGATTTAGTGCATTTTTTTTCCCCACTCCCCTCTGTAATGCCACTGACCCTCAAAGTACACTAAGTAAACAAGTAAACTTAAAAATAATAAAAAACAACAAATAAATAAACAGTCAACGGTTTATAGAATTCAAGTACCCTTTCCCTTCTAGTCTGTGTTAAACGAAAATAACAAAGCATAAAGGCCCCGAATATTTCATGCCATGGCAAAATATAGCCAGGTAGGCAACATTATGGGCGACGTTCACTGCTGTGAGCCGAGTAACAAGTACTGGTGAAAAAGTGGAAAATACAGCTAGCAAAAAAGTGCTAAGAGCTGTGTGTGTACAGATCGCACAAGCAAAAGAGGAGAAACAAGGGTAAAAAAAAGTGACGTACGTCTTCGAGGAAGTCAGGCGGTAAGTCATACTGCTTCGTGATCTCCCCAAATGTGATGTGGCCTGCTTGCTGAAGCTTCTCGTTGATGTCCTCAGCCAGTGAGTCAAGGTAGGACCTGTAATATCGCAGTAGTTGAGGTCGACAATTACGACTGATAGAATGGCTTAATGTTTGAACATACCTAATGATACCGCATTTTCTGGTGCAAAACTCGCAGAAAATAAACATTAAAATTTGAAGCTAAGGCTGGTGTGCGAGCTGTACACAAATTTGCACATGCAAGTTGGCTTTGCAGTGCTGCCTTACATGATGCATTAAAGAGGGCTTCACAGCAATGAGCGAAAGTTTTGAAATAATTGTCCTATGAAATTGAAGTTATGGGTACGGTTTATATGAAGGAGTAAGTCATACTGTATTTATTCGAACCTAGGCCGATAGTTATTTTCAAATTTCTTTGTATCAAACTCCACGGTCGGCTTAAGATTCAAGGATGTTGAAAACGCACCATTCTTCATAGAGAAAAGTAGTAGCACCGCCTAGGCGGTATTGTAGCCATTAGTAGCTGAGCCAACACCTGGCTTACGTACACACGTGAGGCCGCCATTTCGATCTTTGTGGCAAGTTTCCAGGTGAGTCACTTGTGATTTCGAGTCATGCTTCGAGGGGACTGTGTGTGGCATAGCTCAATGGCGCCAAACAGGCGGTGTCATTATAGTGCCGCTTATACAAGGAAAGTTATCCTAGCCGCGGAGTCGTCGTCCAACATTCAAGCTGAGAGGGACTTAGGAGTGGATAAAAGCAATATGCGCCGCTGAAGGGGCTAGAGCATTGGATGACATTCCAGGAACTTTGACTGTGCACTCTTTTAAGCAGTGTGGCATATCTAATGCAATTTATGGCATAGAGAGTTTCACACTATTTGAAGACGGTGAGAAAATAGTCAGCGACAAAGAATAACAGGCTCGAATTAAACTCTGAACATGGCAAGAATCCTTTTTGTGAAATGTGCTCCCATATTCTGAACACGGCAAGAATCCTTTTTGTGAAATGTGCTCCCATATTTATTGACACATCAAGTGACAGTGCAGACTTCAAAGTACTATAACTTTATATGATTTCAAAGACAATATTACTGTACTAAAATCGGTTTTTATGTGATTTTCACAACATTCTGAGCCACACTGTTTAACAACTGTTGTCCGTCTCTACAGCTATTGTTCCCACGTTAGCTCACCTGTCAATCAGCTGCCCCAGAACAATTTGAAGGCTGTGCTCGGTCCGAACCAGCTCTGCGCACCTGGCCTCAATGTGACTGAGGTCAACATTGAGAATGTGGGCCAGGTCAACCATGTTGATGCGGCCTGCAAAGAAAAAGTATGCATCATTAATATGACTGGGAAAGTAGAAGGCAACCCTATGAAATTTTCAGTGTTGTGAGGAAGAAAAAAAGTTCAAATCTTTCTGGTCTTGCTGTTCAGTGGATACTTTATGTCACGTAAAAATCAGCTTTTGCCTACCATGTTTTCCTAATTTTGAAGTTGAGCACACTTCATTATTTTTTAAAATCTGTCAACGTGCCACACACTGGCTCAGCTTGTCCACCTTGCAGAAGCTAAGTAATACTGCCAACAAATTTCACTTCAGATTTTCTCAGAAATTAACCTTAGAAGTAATGTTCTTAAATCCCCATGTTACCTCAAAAATAGTATTACTACAGAAATACAAATACAAAGCTTATTGATAGATTAAAGGAATGACTCGGCTCCAACAGAAATGTATTAGGAAAAACCCGACTTTTCTATCCCAACCATGCAGACTTCAGCCAAATGTTCACCTTTCATTCCTTTCATAGATCTACTGATACTCTTCCTGTGCAGATTAAATATAGTTGTCTTTCTTCGCTTTGAATTTAATTAACTTTACACACACAAAAGAGTTTGAAAGTAAGCATGCATTCTAAATGCCCCTCCAGATTAAACCTTGATTTACTGTTCTTTTTTTCTTTGCTAGGGACATCACATACTTCAGAAAGATACACATGATGGAAGAAAACACAGGATGTATAATCTTGCTTTTATTTCTCAACAGCACGATACATAAGGTGTAGGTCCTGTCTCTACAGGTCACAAAAGGATCTTTCCATGTAGTACATTAATTTCTTTACATCAGTACCACACTTTATTGTGCACTAAAGAAAGACTACAAATAATGTCCAGAATAGATTCCTTGGTGTCACTGCCCAATGTGTTCATAAGCCAATTACTCTATTAGAGAGAGAAATAAACGTTTATTTAGAAACAGTGTTCCGAGCAAGGCCCGGTATCGCCCTAAGGTGGGAGGGTTCCCTTGTCCAGGAACCCTCTGTCTTAGAGTGCCCTCTTGGCCCTGGTAACGAGTTGTCCCTGGTATTCAAGGTTCTCAAGGACGAGCTTGGCCTCCTACATTTTCATTAGGTGGTCGTTGTTTATTCTTGGGGCTTGATCCCGTTCCAGTTGCATGTCGTGGTTTGCATGGCTCTGACATTCCAGGAGCAAGTGTGCCAGGTGTCTGGTACGCAGCAGAGCGGGCACTTGTAGCCAGGTGTCGTTGAGTAGAGGTGGTGCATTAATATGTCATGTATGTAAGTGTTGCTTTGCAGGCATCTCAAGATCACGCTCTCTTCTTTGGTTATTTAGGATGGGGTGAAGGGTGCACCCATCCCTCCAGTTTGTAGTGTTTAAGTTGCGACGAGTAAGTGTTTTCTACTACCTCCATCTCTGCAGCCAAGGATCGGGTATCCTTTGGTCCCAGGGAAGCCCAGCTGACGTGCTTGCGGGCAGCGGCGTGGGCCGCTTCATTTCCCTGTCAACCCCCATGTCCAGGAACCCAGATTACGCATGTATATAGAAGTGGAGAGCTTCGCCGTTGCATAATATTACTTGCGTCGACTGAGACCCGGCCCTTGCAGCTTGCGAGTCACTGAAGATCACCACGGCATCCTTACATGTGGTGGTGAGGCGAGAGCCATTGCCGCTTCTTCCGCTGCGTCTGTGGCCGACACTAATTCTCGACCTTGAGAACCTAGGGCTCTGATAACACAGGCGTTTCTACGGGGATACTTGGCCGCGTCAGTATAGCGGGCGTCCGTGTCTTGCCTGAATTTTCCTTGCAAAGCTTCTGCTCTAGCCTTTCGTCTACCTTTGTGGAATGTGAATTATACTATATTTCTGGTGGAAAAGCAAAGCAGATGTTGGCTAAGGTGCTTATACGACATATACTTAGAAATTTTGGCGCAACCTCGACTCACGCAAACACTCACACAAGCACACACACTTACACCAGAGCAACACACACGACACGCAGCGCTCACTACCAACTGTTTATTGCTCCTATCTGACCTTCTTAAATACGTACATCGAAATGCGCAAAGGCACAAACTAACAGAACTGCGCCAGTAGAACACCAACATGGCGTCACCACACCACTAGGAACAAGTAAAAAGTAAAAAAAGTAAAAAAAAAGTAAAAAAAAAAAGGGGGGGGTTAACACGAAAAGGAGATATAATCGCTAAACCCTCGCATCAAGGAAAGATATTTCTTGTTGATGCAACACCAAAGATGGCTCGCTGACACATATGTCTTTATTCTTTTCTATATAATATGCTTCTAACAGCAAACGTGCTGATAAATTTGAGCTTCTCCCAAGAATCCTTGTATCCGAAAATCGTGGTTCACACCCACATGCGGCAATATGCGACACAAGATGTGCGTACTTATCCTCGTTTTTCTTAACCTTTAGCGCATGCTCCCTAAGCCGGTCATTGAGGCATCGCTCGGTAATGCCAATGTACACGTTACCGCAGGAAAAAGGAATGGAGTATACAACTCCCATGGAACATTTTACGAAGGCATTCTCATGTTTTTTCACGCAACCGCGTCTCTTGCCATTGCAAATACGCGGACATAACTTGGCGAGCTTTTCTGGCGCAGAAAAGACCACAGCCACACCATGCCTTGCAGCAACCTTCTTAATATTATGGGAGAGCTTGTGCACGTAAGGCACGACTTGAAGCTTGGAACCCGAAGGATCCCAAGTAGCTCTATCCCTTTGTGTTCCACGTTTCATCTTCTGCAGTAGTGACTCGGCGACCGCGTTTAGGACCGACGAAGGGAAGCCCGCCGCCGTCAATCGGCTGATCTGTTCAAAAAAACTAGTACGCATGTGGTGTGGACACGACTTAATCAACGAGGATTCTAGACATAGCGAAGCAATACCTCTTTTAACTAATTTCGAGTGTGCAGAATCATACGGCAACAGCCCCTTCTTCACTCTAGGCCGGTACACCCAACAAAAGTGTTCACTACCCCACAGTAGCTTGAGGTCTAAAAACTGGAGACAAGCCTCTGTGGGTACCTCGGTAGTGAACCTAAGTCCGCGTCCATGATCTTTAAAAACACTAAGCACATGTTCACAATAAGAACGCTGCACTTCATATGATACCTCATCCGCACGCACACTCACTGAAGTACAGGCGTCTACTTGAAAATCTAAAAAGTAATTGGGGGGTGTATATGGCCCCCGCTTGTCTAAAAGAATTAAAAAATCGTCAACATATCTAAAAATCTTCAAAACCTTATTCCCCCTTAAAAATTTATCCAACGTCCTATCTACATCTGCTAAAAAAATATCAGTAAGAACAGGGGCGACACAAGAACCTATACAGATGCCTTGTCGTTGTAGATAGGGCTTGTCGTTAAAAGTAATAAAAGTAACGTTAAGATAAAATTCTAAAAGTGCTAAAAAGTTTTCAACGGAAACGCCCGCATTATTCATAAAAGAAACGTCACCATTATCTTCTATGCACTGTCGGACCGAAGTCAAAAGCTTATCATGAGGTACCGAATAAAACAGGTCTTCAACATCTACTGAGAAAGCAAAGGAAATCTGCTGGTTATTCCGTATGAAATCTGCGACATCACTAGAGCTTTTAGTGCGAAACGGGTCACTAACACTGAGTGGCTTTAGTTTGCTTAACAGGAATTTGCTAACGTTGCCCTGCCAAGAACCATTTTCACTAACAATGGTTCTGAAGGGAATGCCCACTTTGTGGGTTTTAGCGGAAAAAAAGACGTTCAAGTTAGTGCTTTTGCTACTAGCTAAGGTTCCAGCCAGCGTAGGAAGTCCTACTTCCCTACAGAACGCGGTGAATTTAGATTTAACGCGTACAGCACTTTTTTTAACAGGTAAAAAGTTCTTGTCAATGGCGCTAATCGCTTCTCATTGTAAACACCCTGTGGCAAAACAACGAAACCACCCTCCTTGTCGGCTTGTACTAACATCAAATTCTGCTTCTTGAAAAAGACACCACACTACTCAGTCTTCTGCTACCGCTATTATCCGGAAGTTGGCTTGCACACCTCGTGAGGCAGTCCATACCGTCCAGCAGGCATCTTTCTCGGTCCTGGTTGGCCTTAGACGACAGGTCCCTGTTCAGGCCCACCAGGTCATGGGCGGAAACACTTGGTGTGCATGCATACTTTGGTCCTTTTCGCAGAAGCTTTTCAATGTCTTCAGGTAGCACTGCACCCCCGAGAACAACGAGGTCCTGATAATTATCTCTTCTCCGTTTACCTTGAAGCCTCAGAAGGGGGGTCAACACGCTCCTCCACCTAGATTCAGTTGTCTGAGCTATACGACGCTTGACTCTCCCGAGTTTATAAGCCGCAAGTTGTTCAGGGGACACGTGAAAAGAGTGCTCAAAATTCTTAGAGCGGAATTGTGGCGCCAAGTAAGGCTGCTCTATGATTGGCTTCGTGTGATTCTTCAATGCGAATACCCTGAACAACTTGCGGCTTATAAACTCGGGAGAGTCAAGCGTCGTATAGCTCAGACAACTGAATCTAGGTGGAGGAGCGTGTTGACCCCCCTTCTGAGGCTTCAAGGTAAACGGAGAAGAGATAATTATCAGGACCTCGTTGTTCTCGGGGGTGCAGTGCTACCTGAAGACATTGAAAAGCTTCTGCGAAAAGGACCAAAGTATGCATGCACACCAAGTGTTTCCGCCCATGACCTGGTGGGCCTGAACAGGGACCTGTCGTCTAAGGCCAACCAGGACCGAGAAAGATGCCTGCTGGACGGTATGGACTGCCTCACGAGGTGTGCAAGCCAACTTCCGGATAATAGCGGTAGCAGAAGACTGAGTAGTGTGGTGTCTTTTTCAAGAAGCAGAATTTGATGTTAGTACAAGCCGACAAGGAGGGTGGTTTCGTTGTTTTGCCACAGGGTGTTTACAATGAGAAAGCGATTAGCGCCATTGACAAGAACTTTTTACCTGTTAAAAAAAGTGCTGTACGCGTTAAATCTAAATTCACCGCGTTCTGTAGGGAAGTAGGACTTCCTACGCTGGCTGGAACCTTAGCTAGTAGCAAAAGCACTAACTTGAACGTCTTTTTTTCCGCTAAAACCCACAAAGTGGGCATTCCCTTCAGAACCATTGTTAGTGAAAATGGTTCTTGGCAGGGCAACGTTAGCAAATTCCTGTTAAGCAAACTAAAGCCACTCAGTGTTAGTGACCCGTTTCGCACTAAAAGCTCTAGTGATGTCGCAGATTTCATACGGAATAACCAGCAGATTTCCTTTGCTTTCTCAGTAGATGTTGAAGACCTGTTTTATTCGGTACCTCATGATAAGCTTTTGACTTCGGTCCGACAGTGCATAGAAGATAATGGTGACGTTTCTTTTAGGAATAATGCGGGCGTTTCCGTTGAAAACTTTTTAGCACTTTTAGAATTTTATCTTAACGTTACTTTTATTACTTTTAACGACAAGCCCTATCTACAACGACAAGGCATCTGTATAGGTTCTTGTGTCGCCCCTGTTCTTACTGATATTTTTTTAGCAGATGTAGATAGGACGTTGGATAAATTTTTAAGGGGGAATAAGGTTTTGAAGATTTTTAGATATGTTGACGATTTTTTAATTCTTTTAGACAAGCGGGGGCCATATACACCCCCCAATTACTTTTTAGATTTTCAAGTAGACGCCTGTACTTCAGTGAGTGTGCGTGCGGATGAGGTATCATATGAAGTGCAGCGTTCTTATTGTGAACATGTGCTTAGTGTTTTAAAGATCATGGACGCGGACTTAGGTTCACTACCGAGGTACCCACAGAGGCTTGTCTCCAGTTTTTAGACCTCAAGCTACTGTGGGGTAGTGAACACTTTTGTTGGGTGTACCGGCCTAGAGTGAAGAAGGGGCTGTTGCCGTATGATTCTGCACACTCGAAATTAGTTAAAAGAGGTATTGCTTCGCTATGTCTAGAATCCTCGTTGATTAAGTCGTGTCCACACCACATGCGTACTAGTTTTTTTGAACAGATCAGCCGATTGACGGCGGCGGGCTTCCCTTCGTCGGTCCTAAACGCGGTCGCCGAGTCACTACTGCAGAAGATGAAACGTGGAACACAAAGGGATAGAGCTACTTGGGATCCTTCGGGTTCCAAGCTTCAAGTCGTGCCTTACGTGCACAAGCTCTCCCATAATATTAAGAAGGTTGCTGCAAGGCATGGTGTGGCTGTGGTCTTTTCTGCGCCAGAAAAGCTCGCCAAGTTATGTCCGCGTATTTGCAATGGCAAGAGACGCGGTTGCGTGAAAAAACATGAGAATGCCTTCGTAAATGTTCCATGGGAGTTGTATACTCCATTCCTTTTTCCTGCGGTAACGTGTACATTGGCATTACCGAGCGATGCCTCAATGACCGGCTTAGGGAGCATGCGCTAAAGGTTAAGAAAAACGAGGATAAGTACGCACATCTTGTGTCGCATATTGCCGCATGTGGGTGTGAACCACGATTTTCGGATACAAGGATTCTTGGGAGAAGCTCAAATTTATCAGCACGTTTGCTGTTAGAAGCATATTATATAGAAAAGAATAAAGACATATGTGTCAGCGAGCCATCTTTGGTGTTGCATCAACAAGAAATATCTTTCCTTGATGCGAGGGTTTAGCGATTATATCTCCTTTTCGTGTTAACCCCCCCCCTTTTTTTTTTTTTTTTACTTTTTTTTACTTTTTTTACTTTTTACTTGTTCCTAGTGGTGTGGTGACGCCATGTTGGTGTTCTACTGGCGCAGTTCTGTTAGTTTGTGCCTTTGCGCATTTCGATGTACGTATTTAAGAAGGTCAGATAGGAGCAATAAACAGTTGGTAGTGAGCGCTGCGTGTCGTGTGTGTTGCTCTGGTGTAAGTGTGTGTGCTTGTGTGAGTGTTTGCGTGAGTCGAGGTTGCGCCAAAATTTCTAAGTATATGATGTATAACCAACTAGCTCAACAACAAGTGCTTATACGAGGTGTTTCGAGAAAGTATGTTCGAAAATCCCAACGCATAAGGGAAATTCGATATTGGCTTACTGGCTTCAGAATTACTTTATCTGTAGGAGCATGCATTGCAAGACAGCTAAATACAACAGTTATGGCAGCGATAATAGAAATTCTACTTCTTTCGTAATTAAAAGATTCAGCTGGTCAGGTGCAGCTGGCGAATTGAAGTCCTCAGTAAGAACAGCCAACTGCCACTTTCGAGATTTCCAAAAAGTGGCTGCTGATAACTTTTGTGAAGTGGTAAAATTTGATTAATATCAGCAGCTAAACACTGAAAGGCGCAACTGTGAAACTATTCCGAGACGTCCAGAATGAGCGGGCATCGTTGCATCATCCGTTGATTTACATAGCTTTTTCAGTGTGCAAGCTGCGCTTGCCATTACAGCATGATAGGTAAGCAAAGGTAGATACATAAAGGTTTTGCACTGCCGAAGAACTAAAACCACTGCAATAATTGTCGGAAGCAGTAACACCATTCATGTCAACTGCTAGAGTACGGCAGTTACGCTCAGAGGTGCCTCAGTTTCGGTTTCACAAATGAAATTTATTCAATTATATCACTCCACGAAAATTAACCGAAGCCACGATTTAGAAATCTCAAAGCAGTAATGGGCTTTTAGCAGGAAGAACTTTGCTGCTCCCATTTGATGTGGCCACTTGTTTCCTCTGATTAAAAACTTGGAAAGTTTGTATTTAATGCTGTAATTATTGTCTATAAACAGGTTGCATTTCCACTTCCCCTGACAGTTTATATGAAGGTAGTAGTGCTTATTTGAGAGGATTTTTTTCTCAAGACAACCAGTATAAGTTTCAAGCATTTCTTGGTGATGCAATGCTTCTGAGAAAATGACTTCTAGTATCCCTACTGAGGAGAATGCCTTCTTGTAGTCTATGAGAGCTATACAAAAAAGGCTACTGCTCTCTTTCTATGTGCATAATTTGTCGTCAGTGACTATGGCCTCTTTTAACAGTTGCAAAAAAGAAAGAGAAATGTTCATTTGCATTGGATGTAATAGTCGTTTTTACTACTTACTTACACGCACCTTGCACATTTTGCTTTATTTGTGTCAGCTGTTTTTTTGGTATTTTCTCCTCCTGTTCTCGGTATTATAGCCAATCAAGTATCAAAGCTCCTAGGTGTTTCGATCGCCCTGGGGAAGTTTACCACTAACAAAGCAAGGTGGAAGCTGTAGTGAACATTATCGAAGTCAAACGTGCTTGAAAATGATCGTCTAACCACTCTAGTATACCTAAGATTGCATCATCGATTGACTCAAGCACACTCGGTGATGTACGCACGAGGCATATCATTCATGCATCGCTTACCTCCTGCCACAGTAAGCTCATCGAGAATTTCCTTCTGAAGGTGCTTGGGTGTGATGTACTCTTTTCCATCGTTGGTGAAGACGACGTCGATTAGCTTCAGTTCAATCAGTTTCTTCACTATTTCGATGCAGTTCCTCTCGGACAGCCTGCGTGGAAGAAGAGGCAAGTCACCGCGATCGTGCGAAGGTACTGTAGCCTCGGTATCACTCTGACAGCGCTGATTAGGCTATCAGCCGAGCTGACCATATGTCGGCTGCTTCGATAGCGGGAAACGAAACTCCTTAGGAATGTGGAACCACTTCAATATTTAGAAATTCGCACCGTTATAACAAAGAACAGGGCATAGAGACAGACACAAAGGCAATGAATAAAGCAGCAGTGAAACCACAGTCGTGACAGCGTCGGGAAAGAGGAAATAGAAACCGCGAACGTACGATATCGAATCAAACGGCGACCACACGTTGACGAAAAAGGACGCAAACAGATTTGTCACGTCAAAGAACTTAGTGAAACTGCACCTTAATGAGGTGTTCGCTATCTTAGAATTTTGAAAGCCATGAGTGGTTACCTTTGCACTGTTGTGCTCAGCTGGGCTCGCTGAAAATCAGCTGCAAGTCGCTTCACTTCTTCCCAGTCGGTCGCCATGTTGGTCAATGTGGAAGGTTTGGTAGCCGCGATGTCGATCCGACTGCATGTAGTGACAAACAACGAAACCGAAACTTAAAACAGCCGCTTTCAGTGAACGTCTGGCGTGGTTACTCAACGAAATATGTCTCCAGGAGCGTAGGCGGAAACTTCTTCAGGGGAAGAAGAAGGGTGAGAAGTGGGGGAGAAGGGGTCATTACTTTGATTCGGATGAGAAGCCGGCCAGGCAGGTATAGTCGAGTGGCTCATTTTATGCTCTGTATGCGATACAAAAAAAAAAAAAAAAAACGTGGGGTGGGGCTCGGAGGTGCAACCGCCTTCCACTCGAGATTTCCAAATTTTAATTTTGCTTGCGTATGTTCATAGACATACAAACGAACGCACGAACATAAAGATATATTTGCACCCCCTCCCCCGGAAGAAATTTCTGGCTACACTACAGAGATGCATCAAGGCATGACAATTGTTTTCTAGGTAGTCACAATTTGATAGTGCGCTGGCACATTCATTACCTGACTGATGAATGGTCGCAAATTCAGCAATCAACCACGTGGTTCATCTTGGCGCATGCGTACAACTAAGCACTCATCACACGTGCGGAAATGCGCGGATAACAAATAACTTGATTAGTCGACCAAAACTAGCAAAAAAAAAAAAGAGAGAGAGCCCTCTGACTTTTTTTTTGTTTTAGTTTCGACTTGCAACGTACCTGACACGTAAGCAGTGTTTATATATCATTATATATACTCTATTGATAGAGTCATGGTACAGTGTAGTCATGAAATTCATAAGGAGATGAAGGACAGGCAGGTTAGCCGAAATTCATAAGAAGGCTCAAAGCGTCTCTGAAGAGTGAAGGGAAGGGAAGGTGGAAGCTTGCGATGAAAAAATCCGCAGAAATTGTGTGCTCGAGCCGTAGTTGACAAAGTGGGCTTGTCTTCTTCAAGTCTAAAACTGATTCAGTTTTGGTCTTTAACAAGACAAGTCAACTTATCAAAACGGATCAGTCCGTTTCACAGTCCAATGGGTTCATTAGGCACTTACTCTATCGAAATTCTGTTATATTTGTGGCGGAGAAGGAAAGCAGATGTTGACTAAGGTGCTTCTGTTTGTAGATTGCTTTTTTGAAGAGTGAAGTGTGTTCTTTGTAGAGGGAGGACTCACCGAAAGAAGTCACGCGTAATCGTTTTTTTTTTTCTTTAGAATGTAGGCGTGCACGATGCCCGTAATAGCTCAGATATCTTAATTGTGAGTGCCGATCAGTTCGTTCTCGAATATCGTTCTCGAATATAGGGACTGCTTTAATAAAGCTCTTCCCATCGTCGCAAGATGTCATTATCAATGCTGCGTCATTTCCGTCACTGCCGTACGAAAGCTAGCTGGTATTCCACCTTGACCGTGCCTGGCTGTGAAAAAAAAGGCACTAACCCAATGGAGATTGCTTTTGACATAACGAAACCATACGTACGCCTCCTCCCCACCTCATCTGGCTGTTCATAGAATATTTGTTATGGCAACTGATGTCGCTATGCTTTAAAGAAGTGCCCGGTGAGATTGCACTTTACTGAATTTTCTGGATGCATTCCCAAGGATGCCGGGAAGTTCCTGCGATGAAAAAAGCGTAATATATAAAGCTAATACGTAACATTTACGAGTTTCTAATGTACTTCCTATGTATTTACACAGCAATTGCATGCACAGTTTCGAAAGCTAACAGCAAAAGCTTCCGGTTCATTGTTTTCAAAGCTGCAAGAGAGGTTCCTTTTAAAAATATTTCAGGGATGTATTATGCAGAATATTTATACCATATATTGCTGCAGGCTTTAACTGCCATAATGTCGCTACCATGACAATCCGGATGAAAACTCTACGGATTTTTACAGAAGTTTCACAGAAGTTCTACGGAATCACACGAAGTGACAAGTTTTTTTTTTCAGTAGCAACATCTTCATCCTCTACCGAGCCCCTCTCAAGGGCTGTCGGCGTTTGCCGAAATGTTCTTTCCTACATCGAAGGATGTAGATTAGCCACACACTTGAGCTCACAAGATGCAAACGCACGCACTCGAACGTGTCACCATTGAGAGCCGCAGAAACGGTGCCTTTCATCTCCTTCAGCCTCAATTAAATTACCTACCCCCCTTAGTGACGTGCTCCCCCAGTTTCAACAAAATTGCGCAGTGTCTGCGAGTCTGAGGCGCGACCACCTGCGCCTTCATCATGGCAGTGCTGGAAAAACATCCAGAATCTCCGTGACATTGCTTCTGGGAACGAACAATCGTAAACATAACTTGCACGTGACGTTGCTGACAGGTTCTCTGCGCTGGGCACCTAAAGATGGCAGCCGCCATTACTTCCTAATGTATTTGAGAGTGTCAGTACAAGAAGGAACGACACAGATTCGTTCATTAATCGCGTTCTTTTGGGCTCTATTCGCCAGCCGCGCCAAGCGGGAATACAAAAAATTGGAAGGGGCATGGGCCCTAATCTGAAGTCAACGTGTCATGCTCCGCGTGGTCAAACAAGAGTTCACACAGCATGCACTTCAACTGGCTGCCTACGTATGGCAACCACAGTGACGACAGCGCAAGGCATGTTGTCTGGTTAGACAATGAACAGTGAATGCGGCACATACGGAAAAAAATTGTGTTTCGGGTTGATAACTCTCATATTAATTAAAAATGATTTATTGAAAGTAATCCACTGCATGACACTATGTGTCTTTAAATTAATATCTTAAATCGTAAAGATAGTTTTGAAATACTTGCGTGACAAGACGCTAAGGCACTGCGAGCGCGTGTGACCTTCGTGCGGCTTGCGTTTGCGTTGGGTATGGCATTCTGGTTGGGTATGGGTTGGGTACGCAACGCCGCACACACTGTTACGACAGGGCACCGCCGATGGGGTTACGAAGGGCGCCACGAAACTCCCCTCTGCCAAGGACATCAGCCGCGCCGACAGCGAAAGGGCTCGAAGCAACGACATGTCTTCTTTAACGCGTACGTCGGCTTCTCTCCGACGCATAGGTCAGCTGCTGGTGACGCGCCGCTTGGCTTTTTTTATAGGCACCAGGTGGGCCTTTTGCGTCACCAACGTCCAACCAAAAGCGCCGCTGGCCATGGTGTCAGAATACTCTAACGGAGACGCACCGCTGGGCTGAGTCATGATCATCAAATCCGGAGTCGCAACGCGCGGTTGCACCCAAGGACGATTGATGTTGCCACGCATCGCGTAAGACTCGCCAGACTGGAAGGCGCCGATTGCTTCATCGGGCTCGTGGGCTGAGGGAGCTCGCTGTGCGTTGTGCAAGACAGACTGGCGCTACCACTTGGTGACGTCGTTGAGTTGATTGCGTCAGGCGGGCTCGATCGCTGGCCTTGACACAGATTGCCTTTGCAGAGGCATTGACGTTCGGTGTGGGCTCCCAGGCGTAACAGCACCCCCGCCGCCAGACAATGCACCAGAAAGACGAGCTGCTTCCACGTGGCTCGAATGTAGGGCGCGCTTATTCACCAGGTCCCTCCAGGTTTGCCTCTTGGACCATGGGGAGGTTGTAGCTCCAGGCACAGTTCCGTGAACACATCCCATTCTTGAGGTCGGATCCCAGCTACACTGGCTTGTCGCCACAACACGTTGACTAGCTTCGCTTGTCTCTTCTGACGATTTCTGGTGTCAGCACTCGTTGATGCTTCTGCAACTTGTCAAGAGCTGTTAGAAAACACACTACACAGGCAAGTGCCCTCGGTTACCCGACAGAACACCAGACAAAGTAGAGTACAACATGTACCTAGCTACGTGTCTATCGGAATTTCGTTTCCTCTACATCAAGAGGCACATGCACGGCACAAGACTCTTAAACTGAGAACTCATATTTTACACGTATAACAACGTAATGAAATAGAATACAACATAAAGTTGGCCCCTTGAGATCAATCTGGACGAGAGCTCTCAGCTAAGACCGTGATGAGGACAAAATTTTGCCCCGACTCGCCAGCGAAAGACTGAAAGGTGGAAAAGGCACTAATAAAACGCACACTAAATGCGTCTGCATTAGCGTTTAGCTTTCCTTTCATCCTTTTCAACGCGCATTGCCCTGCTATGTAACTTTCGGGGAGTATAATACTCCTCAGCTAACTCTGCTGCCTTGTTTAGCTGTACTTCACCCAGTTTGTCCTACAGCCAAAGCTTGACATCCTCCTCGATGCAGCGGTAGAATCGCTTCAGTGCGGTGTATTCTACCACTTTATCGCGATCGTCTTAAACACCCTTGCCCTTGAGCCATTCAATTAAATCGGCTTTAAGACGAAACGCGAAGTCCACGTGTGACTCATCGCCCTTTTTCGCGCACCGAAAACTTTGCCGGAAAGCCTCGGGTGGCAACTTATAACGTCACAAGAGCACTTCCTTAACCTCGTCATAGCTCTCGAACGCTTCCCACGACAAGCGCGTTATCACGTCCGATACTTCGCCGCGAAAAAGAGCTAACAGGTTCTGCGCACGAAGAGACCACTCCAAGGCATTTCGCTCACATACGAGTTCGAACTCGACGAGATACTTCGCCATGTACTCGCCGACTTCGAACGGTGACAGTTGGTCCCGAATTCTATGACCGCTGACCTTAACCATCGCAGAAGCTACGCTAGGCGCCTGCGAACGCTGTAGAATTGCCATTTCTATTCTTTTCAACTCGAGGCACTCCTGTTTCTCAGCCTCCTCACGCTCGCGACGTTCGCACCTTTCTGCCTCCTCACGGCGTGCTTTTATATCCGCCCAGGCCTCACCGACTTCCTCAGCCGACACTCCTATCTTTCATGATCTCAAGGACTGCTTGCTTTCGTTTCGCACGGCCCAAATTAAGGCCAAGTTCCTCCCAAATTTTGATGAGTTCCTTCACTTCAAGGTTCTCAGTCGTTCACACTTGCCTCTTGCTGTTTGCCCATGTTATGAATCTACTTGCCGTACCCACTATACGTCTTCTAACAACAGGAGTAAGCAATTCTTAACACT